AATAACTGCAATAGAAAATTTTGATTTCATTGATCAAAATGAAAGCGTTTTACCGATATAGTTTACTCTTATTTGATTACTTTCTTCACGTTGCCGTTTTTTAAATTTGACTATTTGTAAATTATTTAGTTCTGAATAATAAATTTTGTAGTACTTTTTGTCTAAACTAATTAATTAATTAATATCTGTTCAATTCTTCTTATTTTACGTTTTAACCAATTAAGTATACTTATATGTGTTAATTGCTAGGTTAATCTAAATGATTTGATGTACAATAACTTAATTCTTTTTATACGGGTTAATATGTGTCGATATAAGATAATATTGATTAAAATGAATTGAAATAAACTTAATTTTTTACTGAAAATTAAAATTTAAGTTGCTTGAAATCGGTTTAAGATTAAAATAAAATTTGATCATACGAATCATGATTTTATAGATACTTTTAATCTCGACTTGTTATCATTTCTCTTGACTTCATCCCTAATTGGTGAAGAAATTAAGCGTAAACAATAAAAGCGGATTCATGTTTAATCCTAATTTCGTTTTTGTTTTGATATGATTCGATAGTATAATTTGAGTGTGAAAAACAAAGCAGAAGCGAAGTTCTTATCTATGCAATGACGGTGACCATAGGGCAACCGTAAACATCACGAGAAAAATCCAATATAGACAACAAGGGAACATCAAGCGATGCATGTACTTCGTTAGGGTTATATTACCCATCTCTGTTTATTCACATGAAAATATAAATGAATTCAACTTTTCCATTTGATTTTTTATTATGGGCTCATCTTCCATGTCATGTAGATTCATACACTCTTTCTAGGGTTTATACTTTATAATAACCCCCTCTCTAATCACGTGATGAGAGCTTGTACATGTGGTTTAATTACCTTGAAAGACACGGAAAGCAATAGTTTAACTATCATATCAATTACACATATTAAAAATTAAATTAATGACAACTTATTAAATATTTAATATAAAAAATTAAAGAATAAAAGTATAATTTTATTTAAGTTTAAATTGATAGAGACTTAAAATATTATTATATTAAAATTTTGAAAGGTACAAAAGTTTCTTCCACTCTAATTTTAGATGTATTTAGAATTTACAACGAGATATTCTATCAAATGATCTTGGTGATTAAAGAGAGTTATATTCTTCTTATAATTAGGTTTGAATTATCAATGATTAAAAAAATATTCTGAATAAATATTCTTCTTATAATTAGGTTCGAGTTATCAATGATTAAAAAAATATTCTAAATAAATATTATTTTATAATCATCCTAATCTATTAAAAAAAATGTGTAGAGAGAATAAAATAATAAGATAAATCAAAGATGAAAATTAACTAAATGACAATGAAACGCAACACAAATTTCGTAGAATTCCAAATTACAACTTATTGATTAATTATAATAAAGTAATTATTAATAATAAATAAATTAATACAATTAATTATAATACAACGGAGAATCTTGAAACTCCGATAACAAAATTTAATCACTTACTCTTTTAGATTATTGGGCAATTCATATTAGAGACTTAAACTGAAAACCCTCCCATCAACCAAGATCAAAATCTATTTCAACGCAATTTAATCATTAAAAATCAACAACTCGTATATAATTTTAACCTATAAAAACTTATTTTGGAATCGTTTGAATAAATAAATTTAAATGACCTTAATTGTAACGAGAATACAACCCTAAAGACTCTTAACTCGTTATATTTTAATCAAAACGACTTAATAGAGTGTCATTTACAAAATTTGATATATTCTAATTTTATATTTTAAATTGACATAATCGGATCAGACTTAAATATATAAAAAAAAATTGATTAGATCAATTTTTAAATTAGAAAATTATTAATCGACTGGCATAACCAACAGAATCGATCTCGTTATCAAAAACAACTCAATTTGTAAAGAGTGAGATATTGTTTTAATCCGAAAATACTTGTCCTAATAATGACTTGAAACACCGGATCCTGAAGCTCGAATGACTTGAACCAAAAACAATGGAATAAAAAAAACGAATCTCGAGGCCAAAAAAGGGGAAGGGAAGGGGATGAAGCCACGAGTCGGTTCACAAATGTCGGGGACCTCGTTTTGTTCCCATCCCCCCTCATTAAAAACACGATAAAGACAGCCCCAGGCCACGCGTACGGTCATACTGTTTACAGACACTAAACCCATTTCCAATACAATAAAAGCAACCAAAACAAAGTAGACACGTTGGGCTGAATTTTTTTATTTATTGATTAATTAATTCATATCAAATATTATAAAAATTTATTAAAATAATAAATTTTTAATTTAATTTATTTCGTTTACTTAAGAACCTCGTTGAATGATTCTTTCAATAATCTTAATTCGAGCAGTAATGTTTATAAAAAAAATCAGATTAAATTAATTTACAACGTTAAGAAAATATAATATAAAGAGTGTAGGATACATTGAAATATTCAATATATAAAAAATTACATAAGGCTATTTTAATACAGCTTGTATAATTAATATATTATACTTATATTTTATATTATATACTAACTAGTTAACTACATATATATGCACACGTATATTTTTGTTGTTACTTTAGGACAGTGTGGATAGAGATGGCAACTCAACCCGAATCCGACGGGTTTCGACCCGATCCGATCTGATCGGGTCGGATTTTTTTTTAAAAAATTCGGGTTCGGGTCGAGTCGGGTCGGGTTTTTGTTAAATGCACTGTTCGGGTCGGGTCGGGTTTAGGGTGAAAAAATCCGACCCGACCAGACCCGAAAAATATATATAATTTTATCCTATATATTTAGGGATAATTACAATAATGTCCCTCCATATATAATTTTTTTCAATTAAGTCACTGTTTTCATTGAATAAATATTTTTTTATTATTATTTCGGGTCGGGTTGGGTCGGGTCGGGTTTCTAAGTCATATATTCGGGTCGGGTCGGGTCGGTTGACACCTTAATTTCGTCGGATCAGATCGGGTCACGGGTGAAAACCCCTTTATTCTCGGGTTGGGTCGGGTGGCCCAAAAACCCGACCCGACCCGACCCATTGCCATCCCTAAGTGTGGAGGCTGTTTCTGATTCCGGCTTTAGATAACGCGACTGTCGTTTACTCTTCTCATAATGTCGATTTACTATATTCTCCGACAATGTAGCTATAAAATTATATAAAAGTCTATTAATTTCAATATAATTTTTAAAATAGTGAGTTTGAAATTTTAAAAATACATTAACATTAAATATATAATAAGATAATTTTATGACCTTATTTGACTATATACTTTATCTAAATTATTAAATATTTAAAAGATTTTAAAATACTTGATGAATTCCAAATCTTAGAGATACAATGATAAATATTTGATGACAATTTTTTTAATGTCTATATTATTATAATACTCTATTAGATTTTTGGTTTTGATCTGGAAGTTTTTGGAGTTTGAACATCTCAACCTAAAAATGTTTAGATCTTATTCAAAAATTCATCGCAAGACAGCGGGTGCTTAAATATTTAAAAATAATTTCATTTTCTTGTCTAAAATACATCATTTCTCCTTTTATGTTCGTTTTAGCATAGACCATTAAATTCTTCAAAGTTATTTTTTAAAGGTAAACTATATGTTTAATATTTAAATTGTTACTTTTATTCCATTCGGGTACTTCAATATTTTTTTCTAAACTATATTTAACATTTAATTTAGGTTTCACTTTGGCATACCGTCTTTAAAATGACAGGATAAAATAATAAAGTTAATAATGATGACGTATCGAAATGGAATATAAACTAAACATTGAGTTTAATTTAAAAAAAATAAAACTTAAATATTAAAATAAAACAAAAATAATAATTTAGATACTAAACATATAGTTTATCATTTTCTTTCCCTTCTTGTTGGTTTTTATTTTATTGGAGACAGCGAAATTCATTACAGATAACAAATATGATGAAAATTGTCGAAACAAAAAAAATCATGATGAAGTTGAAAAAAATATTAAATTTAACTATTAAATTTGTTTTTTTTTGTCAGATTTAAATTTAGATAGATATAAATTAAAAATAATCTAAATAAATAATATGAATAATTTCAATCTAAAATAGCCAGAGTCTATAATATTTCGACTTAAATTTGATTAATGTAAATCAAAATAATTTAAATTTAAAATTTCTAAATTCAAAACTAGTGTAAATCAAAATAATATAAAAATTTAAAATTCAAATAACTTAAATTTCATATTTAAATAATTTAAATTCAAAATAATTCTAATATCTAATAATTTAAATTAATTTTTTATTTATCTAGGATGATATATAATAATATTTATTCGAAATGCTTTCTATCAATAGACAATAAACACATAAACATGCTACAAATGTTATTGTTCAAACACAAAACTTCTACCCAGAGTATTTTTAGATGTGAATAATATTGTACATACATCTAGTAGTTAAATTATTTTCAGTTTTAAGGAAAAATCAAAGAATAAGGCTTAAGTTTTCCCTTTTTTTCTGTCCGAGAAGTGGATGGGAATTTATCAATAGGTTCAGTTGTACTATAACTGTACTATTTTAACTTTATTAAAAAAATAACAATTCTTTCATCTTTATCCCTTTGGAACCTAGGGTTCTATCTAGTAAATTTAGTTCTTTGCTACTGAGTAGGAGGTGTATTTGTTTTTGCTCCATAATTTTCTTTAATAATTTATTCATTTTTTATTTAGTTTTTATACTGATTTTGATTTTTAAAATTTATTTTGATAAAATAATTTTATTTTACGCTTTTATAAAATTCAATTCAAATTAATTAACGAATAAATTTATTAAATATATGTTAGATTAATCTGAAATAATATATATATAAATAAAGATATAATAGCTCGTAGATTTTTAAAGAACCACGGTTAATATAGAACTAACCACAGTTAAACAGCCTTGCTTTCCACTCCCAGCTTCAGCTTATAAGCATCCAAAACCTGCCGGTATTTCTGTGTACAAATCTTACAATCCAACACCCAAAAAAAATGATGGTCGGAGAAACCCATCGTCTTAATCCAACCGTTCAAGTACCACCCTGGCCAGATCTCGAAGATCAGACGGACGTCGTTTACTCTCCCATCAATTATAATGCAGCCGACAACAACTTCAACTGTAACGGCATCCCGTTTTACCTCCAGGAAGCGTTTTCAGCGTTACAACGTTACTTGCCATCGAACGAACCCGACGTCGAGTTGGATTCCGAGTTCCCGGGTCCGGATAGTCCGGATTCTCCGGTGGATGCTTACTCCTGTGATCATTTCAGGATGTTCGAGTTCAAGGTCCGGAGGTGCGCTCGTGGCCGGTCTCATGACTGGACCGAGTGTCCGTATGCTCATCCCGGCGAGAAGGCTCGCCGGCGTGACCCGAGGAAGTATCATTACTCGGGTACGGCATGCCCCGATTTCCGAAAAGGGAACTGTCGAAAGGGAGACTCTTGCGAGTTTGCTCACGGCGTTTTCGAGTGTTGGCTCCATCCAGCTCGTTACCGGACTCAACCGTGTAAAGATGGGTCGGGTTGTAGGCGTCGGGTTTGTTTCTTCGCTCACACCCCGGACCAGCTTCGGGTCGTGACCTCTAGCTCTGCTGATTCATACGACGGTACGTCACCTTCTTGTGCTAAAACATTGACGTTTTGGTCCTCCCCTGGTTCTGGTTCACCTCCGGTTAGTCCACGTGCCGAGTCGTCGCCTCCTGTGTCTCCGATGGCTCAGTCGCTGAGTCGTTCACTGGGCTCGGCTTCCATTAATGAGATGCTGACTTCTTTGAGGAACTTGCAGCTCGGTAAAGTCAATTCCTTCCAAATAGGCTGTGGCTCACCTTCGTCTCCTAACGGATTCGGTTCACCTAGATCGGCGCTGATCCGACCCGGATTCTGCAGCTTACCCAGTACTCCAACCCGGAACCCAACACGTACCGGGATCGGGTACTTGGATACATGGGATAAAGTGTCTGAAGAAGAGCCGCTGATGGAACGAGTTGAGTCCGGACGTGATTTACGTGCAAAGATGTTTGAGAAGCTGAGTAAAGAGAATTCTTTGAAGCAGGTTAACCCGGGTCAATTTTCTGGAGCTCCGGATTTGGATTGGGTTTCGGATCTGGTGAACTAAAACAAAACGGAGCTCCGAATATGGATTGTGAATGAAAATACATGAAATCCTTTTAAAAACAAAGCTTAAGCTTTGTGTATAGAGGTAGCAAGACAATGAGTTATTATTATTATTCTAATGCTTGATATTATGGTGTTGGTACTTAAAATCATATGATAATCCAAGTTGCCAATCTTTACTTTGTAGTGGTAATTGGTATTTTAATGCAATGTATAGTTTGAGTATTAAATTGTTTATTTTATGATTTATTTTTGAGTTTTTAAATATTCTTTTATGAATAGTTGATTTTATTTGTGGATGATGCAATCACTACAGACTTTGATGGTTTGGAGTATGGAACAAGGAACCCTATTGAAAGCTATTTCCCCCAACAAAACTTGCATGATTGATGATGTCTTGAAGTATACTTGCAACTTAATACAAAGTCAAAGCACTCATCATCCTTGATGAGAATTCTTTTTTTTTCCCTAAGATAATTTTGGCATCAAAGAAATCAATTCAAGCATTTGAAGACTTAAATTTCATCTTCATACTACAATTTAGGTTTTCTCTTCTTAAGTGCAACATTATATTCAGTATATGAACTATATATTCAATATTGTTATAAAAAAATATTATTATTTTCATCAATGATGTTATGTTATTTCATTAATTGTTGAATAACTTAAAATTATATTGGTAATAAATAGGGACTTAACTCTTCCTAACTGATAGAGTAAGTCAAAATATTTTACACATAACAAGCACAAAATTAGGCTCTTCGTTCAGAAGTATAAGAAAATCCGCATTCATATAAGAATTTACCTAATGACTCGATCAAGTCCAATTTGTAGTAGGTCGATCCAATGAGAAGGTTTCCATGAGCATGAAGTTGGATTATAGACGTGATTTCCAACCCTATCATAGGCTTTAAGGTACAACCAAGCAAAGTGGAGCAATCTGAAATAGTTAATTTTTATTATGTTGTTAATTACATAATTGCATTTGTATTTAAAACTTCAGTTTTAAAGAATTTTGGAGTACAAGTAAATTAAATGTCAAAGTTGATAAGGGACGTGGGATGGGTTTGAGAGTGGTTGAAGAATGGATGATAAAGGACGTGCAAAGCTAGACAAAATCATGTTTTTAGTCTTTTGATGGGGCTTGTTTTGGACTAATTCAACTGTTTATTTACACGTTGCGGGGATTTGGTTTTGGCGAGCAAAAACCATTTGCTTAAAATATGTCAAATACCCATTATGTTATTTTAAAATTTAAAACTAGTCCTTCACAATTATAAAAAAATAAACTAAAATATTCTTTAGTCTTTTAAGTTTATTTTTTTTTTCAATTTGACCATTAAAAGCCTATGGACATAAATAACTAAGAATATATTGTTCAATTTCTTATAATTCTTTTTAAGATTAAGGATCAAATCGATAAAAAAAATTTATATAAAGAGTTAAAAACATAATCCGACTAAATATTATGATAATTAACCATTATAAAGTTCACATTTTAATGATAATTTAGAGGAATGCCATGGTTTATCTCTAAAGTAATTATTTGGTTTTTATTTCAAAGCGATGTTTAAGTTGGCGATTTAAATGACTAGTTTATTATGTTAATGATTATAGAAAAATATTATTATTTATGTTTTAGTTTACGATTCTAGGTGTATTTAATTGTAAATTGGATATTAATTTTATTTTTAATAAAAAATTATAAACTATTTAAAACTTGACATTGTGAATAGATCCAAATAGTTTGGAATGATCACTCTCATAATAAATAAGAGTGTTCAAACAATTAATTCGAAGATTGAAATAAATTAATAAAAAAGGGTATTGCTGTAGTGTGATTAGCCGGCAAATCAAAGTTGCCGTCAAGACAAGCAAGTGATATAAAAATACAAACTTGGGAGTGGTAAGAGATGGTTGTCGCTTTCATTTGTTGATGGTTTCATTAAGCAAACATTTAAAATAAATAATGAACCAAACCAAACTTATCCTATGGGTTGTTCAAGCAGATTTGGCTTTATTTAATTATTCTCAAAACAGTCCCTTTTTAGACTAAAATATTATTTAAAAAAGGCTATTTGGGGGACCTTTGATGGAAACAACTGCACATTATCTTTGGACTTTTTCGCATATGATATAATCCAGAAAGAGGAGTATCATAAAGCATTATATTGATTTGGGGCTGATTTCCTTTATTATACTCATATATGATGAGATTTATATTCGATGAATCCAATGAGTGATAAATATTGTTCTTCCTAAATATTTGAATCCGAGCGGCTGTATTTGTAGGAAGTTTGTATATTATCAAGAGGTTAAGAAATTTTTTTGAACATATAATATCTTATAATCATTTTAGATTATTCAAAAAAGTATTTGATATACCAATAATACTTAAATTTTATGTTTCATCGATAAGGATGGTATTAAGATGAAATATTGCGGGTTAAACTACTTAATTTCGATATTAACAAGGACTTAGAAGTATTCTAATAAGGAAGGCGACTGGGATTTAATTTGAATAATTTCAAAATTAATAGACTTTAAAAATATTTAAACTAAAAAAAGAGAGATCAAGACTTAATTTGAATAATATGAAAACTAATAGTGACCTAGGAAGTAATTAAACCAAAAAAATTAGGGAGGCCAAGCTTAATGGGATCTAAAATATAATTAACTCAAAAATTGAGGGAAAACTTAATTTAACCAGCATAAAAAATGAGGACCTAAAATCAAATTAACTTATAGACATGGTCCTTCCTGTAAATAGTAGTTATTTTCATGGTTATTGATGAATATTATAATGATGCATCATAAACAAATTAAATTGACTTGATTTTATTTTTAATGATATTGTATCATTTAGTTTATTGATTATGTATGAAATTGTACACCGTCAGTGTAATAAGCATTGGTCTATAACTCTATATATGTTGAAAGTACCTCATTAGCCGCTATACTAAATCATAGATTGCATTTTCGTCACTCTATTAAGAAATCGTGCAAACTACTCCCTGTACATTTCAAGTTGAAGCAAAATAGTCCTCCCGTTTAAATTGGTGTCCATTTGTAATATTCGTATATGTCATTTTAGTATAAATGACATGAAAATAAATGATTATTATAATGAAATATAATTTTATGAGACCATGACACAAATAACTACTCTAAAGGGACTAAAAACCATTTTACCCATTCTTTCTAGTTCTGTTCTTTCATTGCTATTCCAATCTCATTATATTCTTTGAACCCGTCGATCTCTTTTTATCCCATTTTGCACTATTGTTGATTTGATAATTTAATATATTATAAATAGTCATATACTATCATAATTAATAACATATTATAATCATTTTTTTTAAAATAGTAATAATTACCACAATATATTATAAAACCGACAACATAAAATCTTAAATTTAATATATTACAATAATTACTATAACCTTATAAATGATAGTATTACAATAATTAATAGAGAAATAATTTCAGTGACAAAAAATATCTTATAATATACGATTTTAACCAATTTTTTTTGGATTTGCCAAAATGACCAACTAAATCGCAATGCGATCGATAATTCGCAACGCGATCTCTGGTATCGCAAATCAGTTTCCAGATTCGCAACGCGACGATAGTCCAAAATCGCATTGCGATAACACTGTTCACCGTTGCGATAGCACTGTTTACCGTTGCAATAGCACTGTTCACCTTTGTGATAGTACTGTTCACCGTTGCGATATCACTGTTCACCGTTACAATAGCACTGTTCATCATTGCGATAGTGATCAAAATAAGAAGAAAACTAATCAATAATGATCTTGAAGGTAGTTTACCTGAAAATAAATATAGTTGAAGGATCAAATCGTGAATGAAGCTGATTGTTATCTATGAGCATTGTTTATCATTCTATCTTAAAGATTTTTAATTATTGAGTAATGTTTTGTTTGTGATGATTATGATGATAGTGAGCATTGTTTATAATGAAGCTGAAAACTGTACAAGGAGACCAACACATGGTTGGCCATATGAATTTTCCATGGACCAATTTGCTGCTGGGTTTGAAGCTAAAACATTCCATGGTTTAGTATTTGCCTGGTCTTGATTGATGAGCTATCACTGTCTCTCTGAAATAATACATCAATTTTGGTTCTAGAGATATTTCACTGACATACTGAAAAAAATTTACTATATGAAAAAAAAGATTAAATGAGTCTTAAATGCATCATCATCTGTTAATTAAGAACTAGACCTATTAGAATAATATTAGAAAAAGAAAATGCACTTGGATCCAGATCTTGTGAACAGTATTATCGCAACAAAAAAATCCATTCTTAAACAAAATTAAACTTAAATAAATCCATACACCATTAAAGAGAATTCAAACAAAAAAAATCCCAAGTTTAAAGCTTTTTTTCATCCTTCTGGACAGAAAACAACAGTAATATCGGAAATTCGCAATGTGAACAGTGCTATCGCAACGGTGAACAGTTCTATCGCAACGCGATTTTGGACTACCGCATTACGAATTCGGAAAATTACAACGCGAATTTGAAAAATCGCAATGCGATAGTCAAAATCGCGTTGCGAATCTGGAAACTGATTTGCAATACCGGAGATCGCGTTGCGAATTATCGATCGCATTGCGATTTAGTTGGTCATTTTGACAAATCCAAAAAAAGTTGGTTAAAATCGTATATTATAAGGCATTTTTGGTCACTGAGATTATTTTCTCTAATTAATAACATATTGCAATAATTCCTACAAAGATGATCAAGCATAAACATTTTTTTTTATTTGAGCTTCATTTTAATATATTTTAGTAATTACAACAATATATTACAAACCCGATAATATAAAGGCAAAATTAATATACTGATCAAATGTCCGTTGATTGGGAACTAAATCACCAAATGTTATTTTCCATTCGTTGTAGCTCCCTGGCAACAACATTAAATAAAAATGAATTACCTTAAAGTGCCATCTCAGCCTGCAATGCAGCAAGTTCATCTTCCTCGGCTGTGTGCTTTTGAGGAATGGGACGAGCCAATTGCCAGCCGGCAGGCACCTGCACTGGTGCTGTGGGAGCCATTGTTGCGGGTTGGAGAAGCTGTTCTTCCAACTCAGCACCTTCTAGTTCTTCCAGTTCTGCCTCCAATTCATCCTACAGCATCAAAAGTTTTCGACTTCATTGTTCAATATGTATAAACGATAGATATGATATATTTAAACATAGAAGACGAGATAATGCGACTAAAAGTAATAACCTCGTCAAAATCAGCTGCAGCTCCAATAGGGGCTGACAGTGCTTCCTGAATCTGTTTCATGTTTTTGGTTTGTTCGTTGATCTCGTCCATTGTTTTGTCGACATCATCTATGTTCCTGTAAAGAAAGATATTTTCAGTAAAATAGTGCCACTTTCCATGATTGATGTTTCATGAAGGTCCAAGAATAAGTACCAACAGCTAAATACATGGCACAGATTGCAATTTAAAGCAAATTCTGAGCTAACAATATAGATAAAGATGTACGTACGTTGCTTTCTGCATTGCCTTCATTGCAGCTGCTCCAGTTCCCAATGCATCTATGGTTTCGGTTGTGGCTTTAGCACCTTCTAACATTATCATCTGTAGAGGTTGATATGAACAAATAATTATAGCATCACTAACAGCAGCAAAATTTGGAAGAAAAAATATCCTCTAAAATGACCAAAGCTCACTTGATCATGAACACGAAGCTGGAAGTTCCCGAGCTGCTCTATCTGTTGTTCATATAGTCTCTTCCTCTTCAAGCACTGTATGGCCACTGCATAAAAGTAGCTTGAAATGAATACCAAGGGCAAACAATATAAAACTTTGCAATAAACGTAACCATCATTAATTTAGTTAAGTTCTAAGTCTCTAGATAAATAACAAAAATAAACTATTAATCATTGTTTCACACAAAGATAAGATCTTCGAATGTGTTCACATGACATGAGCACATTACACATCAGAAATTCAGAATCATAACTTAGCACGTTAATGTTAATCTGGCATTAGAACACGACTCAATGTCCAAAGAACATTAAGAACTCACACTATCGGAAAACAAAAGACAAAAACTCGCAATGCTCTCAAAACATGTGTTTCTTTTATTTTTATTTTTCTTTTGGGGCATCTTCAGTCTAATATGTATCCTGCTGTTTCTTCAGGGAATTAGAATGAAAAGAAAATTTTGGGGCCCAAGGGGGAGGGGGATAACATCCTCTATAAGAAATCAATAAAAACTACCATATTTACTACATCAGAAGTCAGCATTCAGCAAGTTCGAAAACTTGATATATACACTTGTTCAGCAGAAAAAATCGATCAAAGCTAGAAAATCGCAACACTAGGAAAACAAAAAAAAAATTGTTCATAACATAGGCATTGCAACACTACCTCTCTTGTTTCTCACTTTGGCGAATTCCTTTGCCTTTTCGACCTCTGCGGCAGCCTTTTTCAGAAGTACCTTCTCCTTTTTCTCTAGCATTTCAAGGGTCTGCATCATGGAAATGAATACAATGTCCCAATTATAATCACAGTATAGAAGAGAAACAATGTTTATTTAATCAGAGGAAAACAAATACAGAATTTGCAGTTTGTGGCAACTCTTCGGATATAGATATATATATTTGGAATTACTGTTAAGATTTAAGACTCCAGAGTTCAAAAAGCATCCTCAATACTCAACCGGCACACACAAGCTGCTAACCTTATGAATAATGCCAAATTTTAGGAACTTTCATGCACAACGAAAGATCAGAGAACTTAAAGCAAATCAACAAGGTTATCACATTATTCCATAAATCTATCAGCCAGCAATTCAGTTATTTTAAAGCAAATCCTAAAGTGCCAATCAATTATTGACTGCTAAATCTAATCACATCAAAATCAGCAATATTGTTTTCCGGATTCAGAGAAAAATAACTGAACATTTTAAAAAAAGGAAATGAATTCCAAACTAGAAAAGAAATCGAAGAAAATACCTCATTCAATTTGTCCAACGTTGTTAAAGTATTAGCTTCCTGCTTGGGTTTTCCAAAAAGCCGGTTCAACATGGTTGAATTCTCCGATTAAACCTCCGATCTTCTGTACGAAAGCAATCACCGAGACGACTGGGTTTTCGCCGTTTCTTCACTGACGTTGAATTTCCAAGCCTTCGGCTTTCCACACGGCGTCCACTCGATCGGTTTTATAGAGATTAGACCCCACTGGAAAGTCAAAATAATTATCTTATTTCTTTATATTTATATAACTTTTATGAGATCGACCTTTAAAAATTGGGTAAACTATGCGAATATTTATCTTTGTTTTTGGTCCGATCCTTTTGGTCATTAATTTAAAAATTAAGAGTAAATAGTTCCTAACGTTATCAGTCAATTTATTTTTAGTTCCTAATTTGTTGGTTTATTCGATTTTAGTATTTTAACCGTTAATTCTTTAATAAAAATATTATATGTCAATTAAAAATAATAAATAAATTCACATAATTCACCTACCGTAAGTGACGTGAAATAAAAATTTATTAAAAAATCTCACCCACCAAAAATCCACATATTTTCTTATTCTTCAATACAAACCTCAGCCAGAAGAAATCAAACTCCGGTGACATCCGTAAGTATTATCGCCATGGAAAAGAATGCCGTTGAGGCAAAGACGTAAAATCTCCATATCATAAAACTTTCTTCAATAATCTAGGTTACATAAACGGAGTACGGTGCATCTGTCATCCCAAAACCTATCCATGCTGCGACACAGCAGCCGCAATACGAAATTTGGATTTTCAACTTATGCGAATCCATTGGACTTTCCCGTAAAATCATTAGTCGTCTTCTCCTCCTCGTCCTTTTTCTTTACTTTTATATGTAAAAAAAGTCAACCTTTACAGTGCAGTCTTTTTATATTCCTGATTTTCCGATATTAGTCAAATTTATATAAAGGTCCCTATTGTAAGTATTTTTATAGATTTAATCACTTTACTATTGTTTAATATTTTTAGGCACGGCTCTATAAATTGAAATTTTAGGCGCTTCAAAATTAAGTGTCGAAAAATTAAGTATTGAATTTAAGTTTTAAAATCGATTTGATTAAGACTGGATATTAGATATGATTAAATTGCTTGATAAATATAAATTTTAAATGATGAAAAAATAATGCCAAATGAATTTTATTTTAAATTATCAGATGCATTTAAAAAAATTAAGTTATTGAAAATATTAACTTTCTTGTGATTGATTCTTTTAAAATATTATCAAACAATACAAATTCCACCAGATGGAATATTGGAACTGCTCCATGCAGATGAAATATGATTTAACCTAATTATAGGTGTTTTTCTCTTATTTACCAAAAAAAACATATTATCAAACAAGATTTCGATCTTTCTATTTTTTGAAATATATAATTTATCAATTCTAATGTTAATTCATCAAACAATTATCTGATTAAATTGATAAAAAAAATTAAGCGTTATATCTAAAAAATCTAGAAAGTAGAGGATTAGATATGATCAAATTATAATAAAGACTAAATTCACAAAAATATCATAGTACAAGGACCTTTTTAAAGTTTATCCTTTTTCTTTTTTCTTCCCGCAACCGCTTTTGGTTTGGTGTTCTGACATGTTGACAAAAGTCTCTGTGTGCCTTCTTATTCAAACAAAATAGTATATAAATGATGGTCGGGAAACGCTGACGTGCAACGATTTAGTATACGACTAAAATAAGATGTTATCAGATTTGTTATTATTTTAAATAATAAAATTAATAAAAAAATGATTGAAAATATCATTATTTTGACCGGTTATAATTACCTATATAGGTAAATGCGATAAAAAAATTCAGTCAAAAAATGATGTTTTAGGTAGCGCTTGACCAAAAACATCAATTTTTTGAGCAGATTTTTTTACTGTGTTTACCTATATAATTAATTATAACCGGTCCAAATAATGATGCTTTCGGTCATTTTTTATCGATTTTGTTATTTAAAATAATAACAAAATCGGTAACATTTTATTTCAGTCGTATACTAAGGCGCCGCACCCCAGAACTGTCCTGACCTGGATTCCATGTTATTGAAATATAATCCTAAAAAAATTATTTTAGAATTAGCATGCTTTTTAAATTACTTCTTAAAATAATAAAAAATGTATAAATTTTATTAAAAACTAAAAACACATGTAAAATATGTCAAAGATATATATTTACATAGATAAAAGTATAATTTTATCAGCTCTTAGTTAAATCAATCGATCAAATCAACTTTTTATATTATTTGTTAGAATAATTGATTCCTCATTTAAAAAAAAACTCATGAAAAAATAAAATAGTACATCCGACACGAAAACAATTTAATCGTGCAAACAATAATAGAAGTTATACACCATGTATAAAACAGAAATAGACGTAATATTCGGTGAAAGTAAAATCCCTTCCTATTATATCTTCGACATAAAACACTTTAGTTCAAATAAAGTGTAGTGTCTACAATTAAATTGTTTACAAATTTAATAATTACATTAATATATCCTTAAAGTTCAATGTTTAAAACGAGTCCATTTTAGATAGAAATAACTACACTAACACGACGTTATTTTGTTCACATGATCACAGTGACGTAAAGATATGTCAATGTTATTGTATCGTTAAAATTTAACTACTCAATGATATAATTGAATTTCAGGTCAAAACTTAATGTTATAATTAAATCATTTGATATTTCTATGATATAAACGATGTATCGTCTAAAATTTATTAGCATCTAATATAATTTACTCTACATTTTATATTAATTGAGCTTATTCGGGAACAGCCCATATTTAAAGGTTATACTGACAAGAGAAAGGCCCAAGTTTTTTTTTTTTTTTTGGATTCTCATCAACTAACCACACAATAGATTAATGATTGGGTTCGATGCTACATTGTTGGGGAATAATGTGTTTGAACTATCCACACAACATTACTATGATATAGATTATTAATAAATAATAATTTATATAATTTAAAATATGTTAATATTAATTAATTAAATATTAATTTGATTAACATAATTGTTATTACAATATATTAAGGAATGTGAGTTTTAAAGTGCTTATACATACATAGAGAAGGATTTAGATAGATTATATATTGTATAAAATAATATTTTGAAAACGATTATATTAAACCTAGGTCATAAGTCTCATCAAGCACAAACCCATCTATGATTAGGGGTAGCTAAAATTAAATTCACAATTTCATATATTTGATTGGATTGACAAAAAATTAAATAAATTTTGAGTTATAAAATATGACTATAATAATTAGTGGATCATTTTTTAAGTTTCAGTCGAGTATCAAATTTGCATGAAATATATATATATATCACATATTAAAAGTATGAAGAAATATATGTGTATATTATATATAGTTTTTGAGAGACGTTTAAATTAGAGTTAATCAATTCAATAACATTATAAATATTTACATTTAAGTTTAAACAAAGCTCGAATAACTATATTCAATTTGAATTTCATGAATTCAATTTGGTCAAAAAGATTAAATAACATTTGAGTTATAAAATAAGACCCACAAATATGATTAACTTAAAATTTTTTAACTCGACTCAACTCGTCTTGTTCAAATATTCACCTTTACCTATGACTTCCCATCGGGTTGTGTGAACCCTAAATATTATGTGGACCATTGGGGTCCATGGAAGCGCATATTACGCAACCAAAATCCCATTTGTTTCAAACGCCTTACGGAAAAAGGAAAAGAGTAGTTGTTGGCTACGTGGATTGATCAACGGCTCTGATTGAATCAGCCGTTTTAGTGCTTTGACTAGCTGGCTTACTTGATTGACCAATGGAAATCGTGGGATCATCAACATTCAACAATGAAATGTTCCACATATGATAAAAAATTAAGGGTAAATTACATTACACTCAATTATTAATAAAATTCTAAATAAATAATTAAAATTTAAATATTATAAATGAATCACACAATTAATCGATATAGTAAACATGTTATTCTATCATTAAAAATAAAATAAATGTTAATTTTTTAGTTACAATTGAGAACTTAATCATTACAATCTATAGATAAAACGATTTGCTTATAACTAAAATTTTAACGTCCATTTTATTTTGAATGACAGAATGATATATATTTGTTACATTTAATTAATTAAAACTTCAATTATATTTATTTAGAATTGAATGTTTCTTTTATAGTTTTACTAATGATTAAGTAACAAATGATTTAATCTTTCTAAAATTTAATAATTAGTTAATTGCATCATATGTCCCTAAATTATGATCTTCATTTTAAATTGATCCCTAAACTTTTAAATATTCTATTTCATCCTTAAACTATGATACTCATTATAAATTATTCATAAAACTTTTAAACATTCCAATTTCATCCTCAAACTATGTCCATTATTCTAAATTGATCCCTAGAATTTTAAATATTCCAATTTCATCCCCCAAATTCATCCAAGTATGTAATTAGTTTTAGCCATAATTTAACCTAAACTTTATTTTTTTTCAAACATATAATAATATAATTTGGCTTAACAATTTTATTAACATGGAATGTGATTAGTATGTACATATAATTTGGGATGAAATCGAAATGTTGAAAAAGTTTGGAGACCAATGTAGAATGAAGGATATATTTTGGGGATGAAACTAAAATGTTCAAAAGTTTTAGGACAAATTTAGAATGATAGTCATAGTTTAGGGATAGAATTAGAACATTTAAAAGCTTAAGGACTAATTTAAAAAGATGATTATATTGTGAGGACGTATAATACACTTAACTCTTTAATAATCTTATGCATAAATAGATTATGATATTTTCCTTTTTATCATGACTTGATCTAATATATTTCTTTTTGATTTCTTACATGAATTATTCTTAATTATTTAATATATACAATAAGAATATAAGGAATCTTAAAAATGCACATAACACTCTAAATTTAGGATATATTATTCTAAGAAATGATGAATTTAAATAATTGAATACTATGAAATATCTATACTTTCTAATCATAGCATTTGAGATATTATATATAAAAGATAAATTAAATATCTAAGAATATATATAAATATCGTAAGTCAAAATCATACGTAGAAATTATTAAAGTCACTCACAACTACAGATGATCAAAATATTTAAAGTTAAGAGATTATGAAATGAATTATAGGGCTAATTTGTTTTAAGAAAATTAGATTCAAATTTAGTTAAAATATCTTATTAATCTAATAATTATATATTAATTATTATCAGTACAGCTTAATCAAGTCAAGTATATAATATTTGATTGGATCAAGTATCTGAAATATGCGTTGGCTCCAAGGAAGAAAAAAAAGTTAATGGTTTAAATTTCGACGAAATATTATCGATATTGGTTTAAGTATACAAAAGGTGCTCAACCTATGTATGTTTTTTCAGTTTAGTGTTTAACGTTTATTTCGTTTCAGATTGATGCTTAACATTTCATTATGTTATTTAAAATGGGTCAAGTCGTGACGAACCGTTAGTTTTATCCGTTAAGTGACACATGTCACAATCGCATAATTTTGAAATTTATTAAAAAAATTAAAATATTATTATATTTATAAAAAAAACTCTTATTTCTTTTAAATTACAAAATCCCTAAAATCCCCAAATTATAACACTAACCCACCGCCGTGGCCATTTCCAGCCACGATCACCACCGCCGACATAGTCCTTGTCATCATCCTAGTTATAAGTCACCATATTTGTCGTTGATTGGCCGTCGAAATAGCTTGGGATTGTGATTTTCATCCTAGGTTTCGCAGGGTATAAAACATTGATTCACCGTTGATCGGCTGTTGATCAGTCAAGATTTCATAGGGGTTTTGATCATTTGGGGGATGTGAGGTCGGGTGGAGCTTTGTCGACGGCAAAGGGCAACGATCGGCTTGGGTTTAGAGATTGAAATGAAAGTTTTCAAAGTTTTGGGGATATTTCAAAATTATGTATTTTCTTTTTAAAAATATATATAATTTTATTTTTAAATTTTATATAATTTTTTTAAAATTATTAGATTATGACACGTGCCACTTTAAAGGAGGATATCAACGCCGTTAAAATCTTGACCCATTTTGAGTAACGGAATGAAATGTTAGGCATCAAACTAAAACGAAATAAACGTTAGATACTAAACTGAAAAAACAGGGATAGATTGGGCACCTTTTGTAAGCCTTAAATATTTGGTTAGTACATGAATTATATTTGTTTTTTATGTGATGTATGTTTTTAATCTTAATTGCATACATAATGTTTTATGTCATTAACGAATTCACATATTTTATGATAGAATTTGATATGACATGATAAATTATTCAAAAAAAGATCTCGTTGAATATTTATAAGAAAAAATCATTTACTCAACACATAATTACAAACTAAACCCTCAAGCTACTAGTGTAAAATATCGTCACCAGGGAGAACTTTATGGCAACAATCGTAGAGAGTTCAACAGGTTGTGTATTGTAATCAGCATGACACTAGTTAAGAGAACCCTATGGATGGAAAGGAAATCATCAAAACTTCTCGAAAGATGGGTAAGAGACGCATAAAGACTTCCTCGACTATCTAATGCGATCAAATTCTTCCGACAAATTAACGCAGTCGAAGAAAACCGAGAAAGAGAACATGCTAACGATTTGTATTCCTCACACTTACAATTCATGGTTTATCTTAAAGCTCAGCCTTGCTCGCAGCCTTTGATCGAGAAGTTTTGTACCCTTTCCACCATTTTTGTACCCTGAAGGAGACCTTGGTTGCATGTCTCTTCAGCGTTTCACCAGCATCTTTTACTCCTCTGACGATTGTCTGTTTCCAATCGCCTTTTTTACTTTCTTTGTCCCTCAAAGGTTTTCCCTAAGCAAAGGAAAAAGAAAAAGACGATACTAATCAAAACAAAAATCACATGAAAACTTTAATCCGCCGTGTGATTTCAATAAGTACCAAATTCGATGGAAATCGGTCCTCGTCTTCGTCGTCATCATCATCATCATCGTCAGCATCTTCACCGAAATTATTGTTCATCAGCTCCTCTCTTGAATACATCTTCATGCTCGGTGCCCCTGGAATACCCTGAATTCATAATAAATAAAGATCAAACATAACATCAGGTATGAACAGAATACTATTAACTCGAGCAATAAATCTTTAGTCACCTCCATGGATCGTAACATCTTTTCCATCTCGGCTTCTTTAGTTGGTTTAGGCACAAAAGGTTCTCCCGGAGTCCTAGCCTGTATGTATGAACAACAAGACCAGTTCGATTAGAAATGACCCAACTTTTCCTCACACCAGATGTAAAAGATAATCTCATCAATGGAGCTTGTCATCCAACATTACAACAAGAAGTTCGTTTAAAACTAACAGTTGTTTCGTACGAGAGTCAAGAAGTAGGCTGCCATGTGCAAAGCATTTTATAAAGAGAATGACAAAGAATTAGATTCATATGATCCAAATTATGCAGATTCAGTTCAAAACGACTAAAGCCTTTCACCCCGTTAACTTTCATAACAAAAACAGAAGAAAATGAAATCAAACAAAGGCAAATGATGCATTCTAAGGTTTTAGGAGATGAAACATTTTTTTACGGATTTACAGATTTACCTCTATGGAACCATGAAGCAGATGATAAATAACTTACTAGAAACAGCAAGAAATATAGGGTTACCGTTGGTAATTGGGGAGGCTTGGTTTTGCATGCCTTAGTTAGGTCTTTACATAGATAATTCGCCAGAGACTCGGTATCCGGCTTGGACGTGTATATATATTCAGCAACATCGGTATCGGAATACCCCATAACCTGAGAAGAAAAAATAAACATAAGCATCCATGCTTAACAATCTCAAAACACAACAAAAAAGCAATTCATTTATGTTATTAAAACCAAACCTCCTGGCAAGTTCTCTCGATCGTCTTACACTCCGTGTTTCAAATCCCTTCGGCATCCAGCTCGACTAGCTGAAAATATACAAAATTCCTTGAGTTGGCACAATAACTCCAGAAGCAAAACATTATGAGCTCGGTAATAATGCGTGACAGTAAGCAAATTTCGATGAAACAAACTAACATTATCCAAATATGAACCCTTAGATATCACTTATCGGAGTTCATAATCCGAATATTATCTAAATTCGATACGCATTCGACAATAAATGAATTCATGTTTCGAATAATTAAGTACATTCGGATTAAAAAAATCGCATAAATTATGGATATCCTATCCAATAAAGCACATAAATTCTTAAAAATTCCACAACACTGAGAAATCATTTACTGATTTACCTCTAACTTGTCTCCTTGCTCAACTACATCAATCTTCAAAATCCAATCAGCTTCCTCCTTCTTCAAATTACAAACATTCTCCGCAATCTCAATGATTTGATACTCTGAGATCTAAAACCTCACCAAAAACCAATCAAAAACAGAATCCAAATAAGGGAAATTTAAAGGAAAGAAAGCAAAGCAATCCCAGATTGTAAAAATACCTTCTTGGGGGAGATCTGGGCTTGTTTCGATTGAACTTGCTGGTACAACTGTGATGCTGGCTTCTCACAAACTTGACATTTTATGTAGGGGATGTCTTCCTTTCGAGGAGCTGCCACTGGTTTCTTGGCACAAAGAGAGACGGGCAACGATGTTGATAGCAACAAAACTGAAACTAGAAGAAGTAAAATCCGCTCCATTTTCCCCATTGCCTATCTCTGTCGATTGTAATAGTCGTTTTGATGAAATTGATAAGAGTTGTCCATTTTCCCCAAACTGCTAGAGTTCATACGTGTTTCCCTGCATCTGATTGGTTGGTCTCAGGCTTTAGAAGGTGGGACCCACTTTGTTCAACCCATAGGATTTGAGAGGGACACGTAGCTGTGATTTTTTTTTTTGGTTGGAGTTCATGGAAGACTTCGCCGACTCGATAAGATTGAGTAATCCAAATTGAAATCTTAAAATATTTGGATCAGATCCATTTAACAGAACGCGTTAACGCTAATTACTTCAGTTAAATGTCATAGTAAAAAAGTTATGGAAACAAATTTTGAAACTTACTATCATTTTACTTAACAAATAGGTATGTGGAAAAGAATGTTTATTCTTGTATATATAAAAGCTCACTTTTCATTACAAGAATTATATTGTATATTTGAAAAACTTATTGTTTCTCTCATGATATAATCTCCTTTTCCTTGAGTTTCTTTCTCTTTAATTTGCATACATAAAATGTAGGACTGACATCTACAAAAGATAATTTTATTTAAAAATTTAAAGATAAATTATCAATCGAAATAGTTAACAAAATCAATTTAAATTATTTCGAGTGTAAATCAATTTAAATTTAAATATTTTTATTTAGAATAGATTTTAGGTTAAATAAAATAAATTTAATTTTTTTAATAATCAAATCGAGTTAAAATCAAATTTATTTTCTAATTATTCGAATCGGTTTTCGTATGAACAGAAGATAATGAAACTGGATGATATCAGAAAGCCCAAAACTGAAACCCATCCCCTCTAAAACCCTAAATTGAGACGACTTCCCTAACTCGAACCAGAGCATTCAGGAGAATTAGGGTTTAGCTCCTTCAACCTCTCTTTAGATCGTCGTAACCTCTAAATTTCACAAATTTTAGTTATTTTTAGCCGACTTCCATGGCTTTATCTCTGACAGCTTCTACGGATTCCCAAAACCCCAGCTTTCTGATGGGTCAAAACTACCAACTCTCTCTAAAACAATCCATGGAAGACCTTTTAGCTGAAACCCAAAAAGAAACTCCGAATTTCTCTGGCTTCATCGAAAAATTCTACGGTTTAATGCAAGCAAAGGTTGACCCACCTCTGGAATCAATTTGGGTTTACTCTGCTTTGTCGTTTCGAAGCCATAGTTTCTCAAAGGAAGATCATTTGTGTCGATTATCAATCATAAATGATCTCTTTCAGTTAGTTTCTTCGTGTTCAAGTCCTTGTAATTCTTCCAAAAGCATAGCGTTGCTTGCACCCATTGTTTTTGAGGTTTATAAATTAGTTGTGGAAGTACTAGGCAAGGACTCTGGTTCAAAGGGAGAGAAGAAGGTGAATAAAAAGATTAAGTCTGTAGTTGAAGTGATCATTGGTTATATAAGCATGTGTTGCTGTAAGGGTTTCAGTGAGGAGAGTGAAGGTATTGATGTGGATTTGGCAGTCCCTGTTGAGGATTTGGCTTCAATTTGGATAGATAGAAATGCAAATTTACAATCTTTTTTGCCACTGGTCAGTCATGAGGTTTGTGGATTGATTAGTGAAAGAGGGTTCGATTTGAATTACTTTGCTGGTGTGGTTATGGTGGAGTCATTTTTGTTGAAACTTTGCTTGGATATAAGGATTGGGGACGAAGGCATGGTGGTGTTGGAGAATGAGCTGAGAAGTTGGGCTGTTGCTTCAATTTCCAGCTTTCACAACTCTTATTTCTTCGGTTAGTGCTTTTGACTCTTAAATCATAGGCTTATATGTGTAGTTTTGTTCAGCTTCTACTTCGTTATATTCAGTTGCACTTTCCTTCAATTCATATGAATTATAATGAAGCATCCAATATTGTGCCTGTCTCGGTAGTCGGTAGTATATAACTATGTGTTCTGCATTGTTTCCTAGAGTGGAATATTACCTCTTTTCCTTAATCACACTTCGTATTTTTTGTTGTACTTACCGTCTAGTTATTACTTTGTGCTGATCAGAAATGCTTATGAGGATCTTACTGCAGCCGGCTTTGCCAGTGACTGCCTTGCTGGTTAGTTTACTGTGCTCGGATATTTGTTATATATCTTCCTCCTACTTTTAGTATGTTTTGTGCTTTATATCAAGTTTCCCGTCGATGCTTAAAGGAGTTGTATGTTGTAAGTGGTGGTTCTATGTTAACTGTGTGTTTTTTTGCCTATGCAAATGCTTACACTATCGCAGCGCAAGCGGATCATGGCTTGTAGTTAGTCTCTTCCCTCTTTGTTAACTGATCTCACTTTGGAATATTGGATTCTTACAGACTCGTTTCATTTTAGGATTTAGCTGTCTGATTTGATTTGTTTGACATGAACAGAACTCCAGTCTTTTCAGTAGTTTTTAATACCAAATAGGAGGCATTAAGCGGGGGCGAGGGGTATGAAGTATTAGTGGCTCGATAATGAAACTCCGTCCAAGTCTTCATGCTCGTTTACATCTTTGTGCTTTAATTATGCATGCTTAGATTATTAAGCTTGCTGGTTGATTTTGTTTGTTGGTCAAACACTTATCTGATTATGGGAAATAAGCTTCAATTTATTGATGGTTATTTAAACCGAAGAGTCATGCGGTGGTGCAGGGACCTGAAGAAGTAATTCTGCTGAGAAATATTCTATTCGATGTTATTATTTTGGTGGAGAACTCTTTCCTCAAGCCCGAGACAGTTCCCCTACCAACTGAGCATGTAAAAAGTATCGCGATTACAAGATTGGTTGTCACACTTGAGGCCATTGAGTTATTCAGGTATAAATAAATGTTAGAATTCGTATAATAAAGCCTACTTTGTATTTATCTCCCTATCCGCTTTGTTGCAGAAAAAACAGGGATAAAAAAAGAGCTACTCGCTATATGAGTGCTTTCACGAATTCCGATTTACCTTCTCAAATAACCAAATGGATCTCGAGCCTGAACGGCATGTTTGAAAAAGCAGGAGGAATAAGTGGATCCTCACCCAAAGCTCTTATAAGTGAGTAAACCCCATTAGTCTTTCTTAATATATGGAACGATTGTATCTTTTCAAGTTTTGCATTATTTAACTGTTTACTTTGATGTTTCATTGCTATTAATCCGGAATGCGCAGAGTCGTTACTGAAGCTTGAGAAACAAGGGATAAAGCTATTCAATGATAGCGTGTTGAAATACCACGCAAAATCACTCGTCGATGATTCCATGGAAGTCGATGAGCAATTGGTATCAAAGAAACTCAAGGATGATGAGCCTTCATTTTACATTGATGACAAAGGAGAAGAGGAAGTAAATGAAATGAAAAATGAATCCATGACAGCAGTATATGTGGCCGCTGCCCGTTCGATGAGACCGATTGATAAGTCGAGGGATAAAAGGAAAGGAAGTGGGGGTGAAGAGAAAGAGAAGATTAAGTATTTTAAGTATGCCCTTCCAAGCAAATCTAAAGCAAGGAAAGAGGCCTCTGTTCCAGGCTCGGGTTCGGACTCAGACTCGGGTGCCTCAAAGGATGATTTGAGCAGTGACAGTGAAGTTGAGAACCCTGTCAAGTAGGATGATTGGCATATGCCGATGTCCAGACGACAACAACGAAAGAAAGAAGACGAACCATTTGATTTTAAGTTGGTTCAGATATTTTGATTATCGCTACCGGTTGATAACATATTAAGCTGCCTTTGAAGTATCTGTACTTCATTTGTATCAATATTTTGACGTTAATATCGATACTTTTAATCATGTATCGAAACTCTGAGACATGTATTGATACTTTGGGGATTTTCTTGAATTTTAGAAAACATCGAAGCTTATTTTATTATCGACTTTTAGACATTCATATTATTTGTATAGTACCTATACTTCTTGTTATCTTCTTGTTACGATTATCATAACCTGATAATATTGAAGATTTAATTTTACTAATTATGATTGAGTTTTAATTCAATTGGTATCTTTTAGAAATTATGTGTTCGAATACGTTTAAGTGCATTTGTTTAATCATTACCAACATGCAAAGCTAAGAGGGCTACTAGAAGCCTTGGTCCCCTAAATTAACAAAATTGTATATAAGTCCCTTAAAATTATAAGTTAGTATATAATAAAATAATATTTTAACCCTCTAAAATAATAAAATTGTGATTTAACCATTACAAAAATTGAAAGAATATAAAGTAATTTAGTGATAAAATTAAATTTGACTCTAAAAAATTATAATTAATTTCAACTCATTTTTTTACCCATATAAATTATATTAAGTAGCGGTTATTATAATATGTGTCAAATATAATTTTTTCCTCTCGGATTATAATTTTTTGTATGATTTTTAAACTGAAAATTGAAATAAAATTATATAAAACGTGATTAAAATTAAACTAATAATTAAATTATGGCTTAAATAATTATCATTATTGATAAAGACATCTTCATTAAAATAAAGACATAATGATAAAATTATCTTTAATATTTGTATAAATGGTTACTTTGTCTCCTTTTTTTAGTATTTTAGTTTTTAACGTTTTAAATTTGGTCAAAACAAACTATATTAGATGAAAACCGTTAGTTGACTAATAATCAATGCATATTATTGGTGTTGCATTTCTACTGTGTTAAATTGCTAACGTGGTATATGTCACGTCATCACTTTGGGTAACATGACACATGCTATATCATCACTTTGAATGACATGAAACATAACACATCATCATTTTTAGTGACATGACATATATCACATCAATAATTGAACGTATATAAAAATACCATATTATCAACACATATTAATCGTCAGTAAACTAACAGTTTCTATCAAAAAAAGTTTGTCTTGACCAAAAAAGAAAATGTTAGATGTTAAAAATACTTAAGAAAATAAAAAACAAAGTGAACATTTATACCAATGTTATAGGATAACTTCATCATTATACCTAAAATAAATCAATTTTGAGTAGGTTGAACGCCAAAGCAAAACACCACATTGTAACTTCAAACGCCATATATGTCTGTTTAAAATGTTTCAATACGAGTAGTTTAAAAGCTTGTTTTTTAAATCATATCAAATGATTTTGTACAATGATTAACGGTATTAGTTATTTCAACCAACTAATAAGTTTACAAAAACAAAGAACCAAATAATACTAAATCAGAGTACAAAAACTAAATTTCAAATTTTATAATAATATAGGGACTAAAACCACAGTTTAACCCCCAAATTCACCAAACAGCCGAGCCCAATTTGGTAAATAGAACATTTCGTTAGTCAGACGGTGACGTTTAACCTCGGTTTTGATAAAAAAGAGATAAACTACACCATTAGTCACCAACATATTACTTCTTTCCTATTTTGGCCACCAAACTATTTTAAAAAAGAGCATCTCCATCGTTTTATTTTCTTATTTTAATCACAGACTGTTAAAAAAAATATTTGGAATCACGTTGCAAAAAGCATCATTGGTGATGTTTTTGTCAAAAAATTGAGTTAGATGACCAAAATTAGAAAGAATCAATGGGTTGGTGGCTATGGGTGTAGTTTACCTACAAAAAACTAACCGAGGGTTAAGATTTAGCCAGAAGTGGGATTAAAATAAGTAAATCCATTGAGGTTTCTATAAAGCGTCGGTGGAGGCTTCAGCTCTGCTCTGTTTATAAAAATGAAAAACAATTTTTTTTAAAAATAAAAATAAGAGCGAGGCGTATCGGGAGTTTTCGAGGGAGAAAGAATCGCTTGATATATAAACCATCAAAATCCAAGCAAGAGAGCGTCATATACTCATATATCTATCGTTTTGAAGGGGAAAAAAGGGGGAAAATGTTTTCTTCTTTCTTTGTTTGAATATAACAGAGAAAGAACCACACCAATGGCTGACTCAAACGATTTCATTCCTCTCTATGCTGAAAAGATCTATCTTGGTGGAAAGGTTTTTACCCTATTTTTTACATTTCCATTTTGCATTGTTGAATTGAGTTTTTAGTTTTTTTTAATGGGAAAATAAGGGAAGAATCCAATTTGATTATGCAATATCGAGAATTTTAACGAAATGGGTTTCATTAGATCTTCCTTATTTGGTCAAAATTTACCTTTTTTTATATGTTTTCTTATATTTTTCACACATTTGGTAACATATATAAAGCAATGATTTTTTGGCTTTTTCTTAACATTGTTTGGCTTTTTTATATTTGACCACTTTTATGGTAATGGGGTATCCTATTTTGTATCAAATTCGTGTTTCCTTAAGTTTGATAATTTGCTGTGATATTACTGGTTTTAAGAATTCATTTACATTTTCTTGTGTTCTTCCTTGCCTTTGGAGGTATCTGCTTTTACTTTTGGTTTCTTTGATCGGTTGGAAATTCTTTCCTTAGTGTTTTTTTTGCTTGCGAGAACAAAAGAGGTGGGATAATTGATTCTTCCTACTATTCAGTCATTGGGATTGTTAAACTAGTGTTTGCAGCTCATTGAAGAAACCTTGGCTGCACCTTTTTCATTGTTGTTATTATTTTAAAATTCGTCTAGCTGTAAAATTTACATTTTGGATGCACCTTTGAGAACATTATGGTACTCATTGAAGTTTTCCAATGCATCTAATGTATATGCTTAATTGTAATTCTTAACTCTCTGTATGTCGATTTCTATGCATCTTGTATATGTTCGTAACCAGTGCTCCTGCAATCATCTGCCAGGAACATCACGTACGAACGCGCTGTGGTTCTGTGTCTGTTATAGTATATGGGGATCAAGACAAGCCGGCACTGATTACATATCCTGATTTGGCATTGAATCGTAAGTACAATGCTGCCAGATACCATAGCCCCTTTGCGTCGAGTATTCTCCTTTGGCTGATTCTGCAATATGAATGATTTCTCATTAATTAGGATGAAATCAGTTGTTACACTTAGTCGGTTTTTATCGGTAAATCTTCTTTCTAACAATTGTGTTGTTCCTTATGTAAAACTTTTTCAGATATGTCTTGTTTCCAAGGATTGTTCTTTTGTCCAGAAGCAGCCTACTTGCTGCTGCACAACTCCTGCATTTACCATATCAGTCCTCCTGGACATGAGGTTAAATTAGTTAGCATATTCCTATTTGCTCGATTATGTTCGATGTTCACTACTTTATCACCTTGGTATGAACTAAATCAATTATTCAATTTTATTATTAACATAGTTTCCTTTCTGGCACTTTCACAAGAGTTCTTCCAGTTGGGAGCTGATCCAATTTATGAAAGTACTTCTCCGCATTCTGTTGACGACTTGGCTGATCAGATCCTTGAGGTTCTCAACTTTTTCGGGTAATCTTATTACTAATGCCCTTGTTTTCTTTTACATTGTTTTTATATGACTCTTTAGTTGATGCTGCCATCTCACTTAAGATAGCATCTTAGTACGGAGCTATCGGATTTGGTTGGTGTCAATGTATTAGTCGAAAAAGAGTTTTAATAGTTGAGATTCTGTTCAGGCTAGGTGCGGTGATGTGCATAGGAGTAACAGCGGGTGCTTACATTCTCACTCTGTTTGCCGTAGGTTTCCTTATGATATCTTTGATTAGTATATTTAAATTTTTCGATGCAAGTTAATTGACAGGTTTTATATCACAGATGAAATACAGAGATCGTGTACTTGGTTTGATACTTGTGTCCCCTCTTTGCCGAGCACCTTCTTGGACTGAATGGTTCTATAACAAGGTTACTTCCTAAGATTGTTGGTTATAGTTAGCAGTCTTTGTGCATAAATGTTTATCATATAACTAAAATGACCTAAAATCTTAGGTGATGTTGAATTTGTTGTTCTATTACGGAATTTGCGGACTGCTTAAAGAGAATTTCCGGTAGTTGACCTGATTTATTTCGGTTGCTTGTTTGTTTTCTTAGTTGTTGGACGAGAGACATGCCACGAATGTGATGCGGTTTCTTCAAGCAATTAACGGGTATGATTAGAGACTGTTTCGGTATCATATTAGTTGTTTTTATCACACTAAATAAAGAACTTCGTAGTGATTAAAACTTTGTATCCCCAACTTGCAGAAGACCTGATCTTACCAATGGGCTGAAGAGGCTAAGATGCCGTACCTTAAATATTTGTTGGGGATAGCTCACCTTTTCACTCTGAAACCCTCTACATGACGTCCAAGTTCGATAGAAGATTTAGTGCCTTGGTCGAGGTAAGTACCAACTAGTCCATAGTTTTTTTGGATTACGTATATATCACGAACTAATGGAGGTTTTCTTGCTTCTGCAGGTCCAGGCTTGTGGATCGATGGTGACCGAAGAACAGCCACATGCAATGCTGATACCTATGGAATACTTCTTCATGCGATACGGGTTGTATAGGCCAATGCATCTAAGTGGTAGCCCGAGGAGCCCATTAAATATATCTTGCATCTCACCGGAACTTCTCTCGCCTGAAAGCATGGGCTTGAACTTAGAACCGATAAAGACACGTGTATCGCTCGAAGTTTGACAGTGGGGGCCTAGAAAGATGGGATTCCATTAAATTTTTGTTGTCGGAAAAAGAAAAGTGTATATGAAGGGTGGAGAAGCGCAGTTTGGGAGGGGTGGGGAAGGCTGTAGATAACAAGCAAGGAATTATAATGGGGAAAAGATGGTTCATTCTTTTGTATTCAAAATGAGTCATTGAAACGTGTAATGTAAAAATTCTGAAGGAGATCCCTTGAAATGTATTCATTGTTTGCCATTGCCATATTTCAGTATCTCTCTCTTTCTCCTGTCTATTTCTTGTACCAAAAAATCTCGATCGACGTCTCCGATCTTCGGATGCTGATACCCGCATTCTTTCCTAGTCCCACCATGTGTAACATGATGTGGAATCGACATATTGTTATAGACTCCGATGGCATGATCGAACGGAACTGCATTTTCGATCTTCTAATCTTAGCTCCGTCCCGGAACAATATTTTTTAATTTTAGTATCTAACGCCTTTTTCCTATTCAAAAAGCTGGAAAAAAAAAGCATCAAGTTTTGGTTCTTTTCATGTAAGGTTGGGTTTGGGTATGGGAAAAATATGGAGAGCTTTTGTGAGCCAAAGGGAAGATTAGTTTCAATTCTACTATGTTCTAAAAATAAAAGAGTATGTTACTCATTTAGTCATTCCATTTTTATCGCATTATTTTTAAGTCACCCCACTTCAAATTTTTTGATTTTATAACATTTTTTATCACTCCATTGTTAAGTGTCTTATGACTATTAATTTTTTAGGTAAATTTATGTAAAAAAACTACTGTAATTTCCCTATCAAACTCAAGTTTTTGGGCTCTTTTGATTCACAGGTATTACAGATTTTTTTTTCCTTTCAAATTCAAACTGTGGAATGGCCGAGAAAGAGGAGAAAATAATATATTTTAATACATTAATGATTAAGTGGTGAAGTTTATAAATCAAGACCAAGATAATATTAAAACTTTGATTTGAGTCTTGTCAATTTTAAGAGAATTTAAAAAAAAAGAAAATTAAATGGAGAAGAAAAGAAGAAGAAGAAAGTTTAATATTAATTACATCATAAATAATAATCGGCGATGATCGACCGACACTAAAAAAATGTCAAACATGAAAAGAAAAGAAAAAACATCATATTAATTTCATAAATAAAATTGTCCAAAATACAACTAGTTGGGGTTGTCTTTACACAACTAACAATTGGATGACAAAAAAATGACTTTTGAAATGTATAATTTACCCAGAATAACACCAATAACATTATTAAATACCGAGTTAAAGTAAAAGGATTAAATCATAAAAGTTTAACATAATTGAGGGACTGAAACTATAATTAGACCGAATCCCAAAACATCATAAAACCCAAGCTTCAAGTTATCCATTCTCCAAACTCCAAACTCCAAACTCTTTCTTTCTTTCTAAACATGGGAGTATCCAACAACATAACAGCAGTTCTCAACATGGTAGCCCTCCTCTGCTCCATCCCCATCATCGCTGCCGGCATATGGCTAGCCCAAAAGCCCGACAACGGCTGCGTCCACCTCTTCCGGTGGCCCGTCGTCATCCTCGGCTTCCTTATCCTCGTCTTCTCCCTCATCGGCTTTGTCGGCGCCTACCGTTACAAAGAAACCCTTTTGGCCTTCTACCTTTGCTGCATGGCCATCCTCATTATCCTCCTCCTCGTGCTGCTGATATTCGCTTTCGTAGTCACCAGGCCCGACGGCAGCTACGGCGTGCCCGGAAAGGGCTACAGGGAGTACCGGCTCGACGGGTACTCGAGTTGGCTTCTGAACCACGTGGTTGATTCCAAGAGCTGGAGAAAAATCAGGGCTTGCTTGGGTGATTCGGATGTTTGTCCTAAGTTGACTCAACGATTTATTACAGCTGATCAGTTCTTTGCTGCTCATCTCTCTCCTCTTCAGGCAAGTTCTTGCTCTGTTTTCTTCTATACTAAATTATGGTCAAAATACTTCGTCAATCCTTGTATCCGAATGAAGTTTGAATTTAGTCAGGTATGGAGTTGGGATCAAACATTGGGAGGTATTAAATTACTTATCATACGTAAATTTTGATACAGAATACCAGTGCTTTCAAAACTTAGCGACTGTTTAGAATAATTATGCACCGAATGATTTAAATGTCGAATGATTTAGAGACTCGGAATGTAACATGTTGTTTGATAACTGGCATTCAGAACGTATTTTTGTGCTGAATCATTTCGTACTGTTTTACTGAATCAGTCAGCACTGAATCATTCAGAGATGTGAAAAAAACGCGCCTAGAATTTATACATGAACTAAATCTTAAGGTTTACTAAAGTGTAGTGACTAAAAATATATTTTAACGGATAAAATAAGGTGGCACGTTCTACTGCCTTCTTTTTTATGAATATCCGAATAATTTATGTCAACTGTTGCTTGAATGTGATTTCTTGCAGTTTTCAACGATAAACATCGAACACGCTTTTTGAACTTAGAATCACACATGTCACTCTCCTAATACACTTATATGTGTTCGTATATATCAAGAGATTTTTTCGTTTATGTGATGTGTCAAAACTAAAAAAAAAAGGTATTGCATTTTTGGGATGGTTTTATGGTGTCTAGGATTTTATTTTTCTATCTTGTAACTGGTCTCGAAGAGTCCGAAAATCATATAGGAAATTAAACGTTTATCGTAACTTATTTCTCGATATCTTATGATAATTTGATTAAGAGACTTGATTTCTAAGTTGACAAAGCTTGGAGGGCAAATTGATAAATAACCAAAATTCAAGTACCCATTTGCTCCCTAATTTTGGCTGGTTTTCGATCAATTGCTCCTCTAAGATTTCTCAACTCTATAATCAAATTTTGTATCATCAATAAACTTTTAATCGAGTCATCGTGTAGCGCTTCAATGTTAGGATTCAAAGTCATAGTAACCATTTTACGTCCTATTATGACCGGACATAAGACCCTTATCGTGATGGTTTATTAGTTACTGGTGGAATTAATTAATCTTACCCCAAGTTGCTGGATGGAAGAAGGCAACCACCACAAGAGCTTTGAATGTCCAAAAGCAGGGACAAGTTCACCTTAAATAATATGAAACTTGGACCCACCATTATGGGGTTGTTGTCTTTAATTTATGTTAGATAATGAAACCACAATTCATCGGACCCCACGGCATGGTTCAATTTGATCCGCGCACACATTCGTTTGAACACCTTTTATGGCATGTTTAATCATACCTCAAATCATGTATTAGACTTTATACACATGTTGTGTTCTGTGGGGCAACCTTGCCATAAAATTCCACTTTGTAGGTCCAATTTTTTTTTATGTTGGTTTGATTTCTTATTATTATTTTCTAAATTTAAATTTATAAAAAAATATTTTAAAGTTATGATCTTACTAATATTAAAAACATTTATTTTTGATACGTACATCTAAATTTGAGTAACAGAAGTTTTGTGCTAATGACGTAGTAAAGGTGAATTATTAGCCTGAAATCATGGAACTTTGACCTAACGAAAAGTTGTCCATAAGGTAAATAGCTTTGTCTCTGTCTCAATTTGCATTAAAAAGGTCAAATTTTATTTTTATCCTTATATTATGTTTAAATTTAAAATTTAGCCACTATTTTACAGTATTATTATCTATCATCAATTGTGAACATTAAATAGTCCACTTTATTATTGATTAATTTGATTTTTTTACTTGTTTATTGTTTTTTTTTATTAACTTGATACTTTCTTATAATGTTTGTTTATTATTTATGTTCGGAATTTGCAACTATTGTATGTTTAATTCTTTTATTTTTTTGTGTGGTTATGTTTGACAGTCGGGATGTTGTAAACCCCCGACTATCTGTGGCTACACTTTCGTGAACCCGACACTGTGGACGAACCCGTCGAACCCGACCGGCGATCCTGACTGCTACCTATGGAGCAATGACCAGACCCAGCTGTGTTATAACTGCAACGCATGCAAGGCTGGTTTGCTGGGGAATTTGAGGAAAGAATGGAGGAAAGCCAGTATAATTCTCATAGTGGCGGTGGTGTTGCTCATTTGCGTCTATGTTGTTGCTTGCAGTGCGTTTAGAAACGCACAAACGGAAGACCTCTTCAACCGCTACAAACGCTAGCTTTTCTCGTTGTTATTTTGCTTGTTTCTTTTATTTTTCTGTTGTTATTGTTGGTTTATTAATTTTAGACGTATTTTACGTTGTTTGTGTAGCATGATTACGAATATGAATTATTAGTAGATTTATTGGTTTTGATATGAATTTTGATTTGATTGGTCCGAACTACAACTTAATCGATTCTGTTTGCATGATAATCTTAACAAGAAAACGATCTAAATCTGAAACAATTTGAACAAGTAACCAAAAATGATTTCGACCTAGTGTTAAACACGATTAATAGAACTCAAAGTCACTTTTAACTTGTTTGAAGTAAAAAATCCGATTGACTTGCACCAAATTATCTAAACTCGAAACCATTTGAGTTTGAAACGCTTTTATTATATAGAATTATCCAACCCTATAATAACAAAAATCAAACTCAACTTGAATAAAGTTAATCCTGATCTAAACAGGAATCCACTTAAATCTAAAATTAATTTAAATAAATAACTTCAAACAATCTAAATATGAAATAATTGAAAATCAAAATAAATCAAACTTAAAAGTCGAATCAATAAGACTTGACTAAACCCAACATACCCGATTTAATAAGTCTGGTTACGAGAAATGTCGGTGATGAAACACTAAAATACCACAAGACACTGTAAGTGATGTGTATATGCTCTTTGTTTTATATAAAAGAAATATTGACAGACTTGGGTATTAATACTGATGATTAGAACATCGATACTTAAAAAATATTAATATTTATCTCACGAATCAATACTTTTTTAATAAATTATGGATATTCTAATTTAAATATTAATATTTTTAATCAGATATCGACATAAATTTATTAGAATAATATTTGGGGAGGGTGGAACAAACCTTGCCTGCACTCGCGTAAAGCTTTAAAATACGTGATGTATATTTGTGGGGGACCGAAGCCACCGGCAACACCGACTGGGGGGATGCATTATCGAAAATTAATGTAAAGAAATCAAAAGACGACGGGGTCAGGTTGTCGTGTTTTGGGAACCTAACTGCTTTCAGGGTCGCAACTTCCAACGCCTAAATCAACTCTTTATCCACAATTTCGATCGCCTTTGTTCCGGTCAGCGTGATACTCGGATAGAATCCAAATTAAAATTATTAATTAATATCCTTTTTATATTAGAAATAAATCAAGACACATTATGTCAAAAATATTTTAAAAAAAAAACACTAGATAAGAAACGCTTTTATTTATATAACAAAAACTCAATCAAGTGATTGAACTATAATACATATATAATCATTATTAATTAATTAAAAAAAGTAAATAAATATTATCTTACAATTATTTTAAATTAATAAAAAAATTGTTAAATTTGTGGACGTTTGATCAAAATAAAAAAATATCAAATAAAAGAGAGAATACACGGCATATATTTTTAACACGTGCTTGCATAAATATAAACTTAATAATGATAGTATACCTATAAATCTCATCTTCAATCACTAAATAAACATAAAAAATCGATTTTGATCAAAATTCTCGAGATTGAATTAAAATTAAATATATTGTTTGTTCCCCGTCACTAAATAAACATTGTTTTCAATCTTTAAAAAATTGAAAATTACAAGTAGATGTTTTGTAACAAATAAAAAGCATAGGCAGCACCCAGCAGTCATCAAGAGCCATTGGAGGGGAGAGTGCTCTGTATATTCGAAGGCATTAAGATGTTGAAACCATCTGCGGCGGTCGACACGACCATTCCGGGTATCTGAGCATGCCAATGAAGCTCTTTCAAGTCCTTTTGCCCCTGTTCATGGTGGAAATCATGTTAAAATAATGATACAACTGCAAAAGCATCTTCGATTTTCGATATTCTTATTACGAACCTGATGAACAAAAAGAAGTTGTGGAGGTATATCTTGTGGGGCGTTTACTAGCTCCTTTGTTTGAGCTTTGAACTCCGCTTCTTCTTCCTCATCCTTCTCGAGAGAAAGATCCCATATTCTGAAAGTCGTAGCAAAAGAAAAGTAAGCAAATATATAGCAGTTCGACTTCACTCGATGATTATCAGATACTTACGTTAATTGATTATCGGATGATGAAATAGCCAAAGTGGAGGCTTCATGAGGACTCCACTCGATGGATGTCACTGGGTATTTATGGTACTTGAAATGAGCAACCACTGTATTTCCGTCCTGTCCACGTTATAAATCAGTACTATCAGTAAAATTGGCAAACAGTAAACCAGTCGATGCTTCGGTAGAATGACAAAGTAATTAATTCATGCCTAAAAAAAGAACGGAAACGGATTCGGATGGCAAATGCTAATGAATCTAGAATTCAAAACTAGATGTATCAGATTTCAATTTTCATCAAGTATCATCCCAGGCATACCTTGAGCAACCTAAAATCATGAATCGAAAACGTGCCATCATCACTTCCTGATGCCAACATACAACTAGCCTGTCTGAATAAATATCCGAGGACGTATAGATGTCAAAATTTTGACAGTATAAACAAAAGCGGAAAGTTGACAAAGGGTAAGTAAATATACCAAGACTGAAATACCTGTTCCATGAGATGACATTGACGTCTGCATCATGTGCCTTAAAAGAAGCTGCCGGCGACTTCCCTAAACGGATATCCCAAATTGCAATAGTGCCATCAACAGAACAAGAGACGAAAGCGTGAGGTTCTGTTGGACTCCACTGCATAAAAAGTGATGAAAGAAATGGTGCTATCAGATCAAGATACTGCAAACCATGTTTAACAATAGGTATCGATTAATTATATCAAAACACGATTACCCACTTGTAGATCTTCGACACTTGCAGAATGTCCAACAAACGGAGTAGGATCAACATTCCATGTTGAATCAGATGCAGGCTCCCACAAATGAATACAGTTCTTGCAGTCCCCTAAAAAAGTACGAAGAACATTAACTTCACAATAGATTATCAAGATGTAGAAGTAGTTTTATCACTATCGTTACTCTAACAATACCAGTTACAAGCCTTCCAGCGACAACGGGACTCCAATCAATTGCATAGCCTTCATCTTTGTGGCCACGGAAGTTAACTAATGGAGCCTGATTAAAAACGGAAGAATTTCCTTGGATACCATCTGTTTCTGATTCCGCTAAAGCATTCAGATGAGAACTGAAGTCCCACACCTGCACACAAACAGTATCAAAAAGTAAATAAATAAAGATTATGTCTCCAGTTTGACACGAGATATAAGTATTCCTAATCACTAAATGCAAACAACAATGAGCAATATGAATATTGTTGGATTATGAGTCCTACCTGAACATGACCACTGTCAGCCCACGATGCACATATGTGCGGGTTTTGTGTCATGGCTCGTATACGGTTAACGCAACCATGATGAGCCACCTTTCGCAACTGCACAATTTAAATCCGAACAAGAAAAAAGGGGCTCAATATATAAGTTCAATAATAAAACCCGAAGATGATATATAACTAGAAACCGAAAGACACTAGAAATTACCTGCAAAACTGGTGCACTGGGTCCACTTTCTTCTTCGTCTTCACTATCCTCACTATCACTACTTTCAGCATCCATATCAGGATCACCCTCGGCAGATTTGGTAGGAACTAGCTCGCGCCTTTTCCCTGAAACATTACTTACTTTAAACACTCCAATAGAGTTCCACGACGGTTTCTCTGCCTGTGAAAATCGAACAAGAATACAAGACCATCAACATACACAATAATTCAAGTAACATACAACACTAAGAGATCACATGAACATAACACAAATGTAACAAACGATGAAGCAAACCTGAGTCCCTGCAACAAAATAAACTGTGTGCGGAAAATCATTCCGGCCGGAACCCAAGGAATCAAGAACAATATCAAAGCTGTCAAAAAAAGGACACAATTTCTAAATTAACAAACATAGAAAATACAAAAGCAAACACTTTTCAAGTACCCTTTGTAGAATTCTATATAAGCCTTCTTAATTTCTACAAGTTTTCCCATTATTTTCTCAGCAAACAAACAGAGTAATGGCGGGTCACTAAAAAAACTACCTCAGGCAAGGCCAACCAATATGAAAAGCGTGAAGAGAATTGTAAGCTGAAGGGTCACACTGAAGCTCTTCTCCTTCCTCCAGTTCATCAACACCCGGTTGCCAAACCCTTGGTTGAATTGCCGGCCCCGACGAAGACGATGATGCTCCATCTCCTTTTTTTGAGCCCTTGTTCTTTCTCTTAGCTTTTTTGGGGTTTTTGATAGAGCGAGCCATTTGTTTGGTGGGATAATCAATCAAGAGTCGATGAACAGCCAGGAAGACATAAAAGGAGGGTTCTTTCGGTGGCAGCTAGGGTTTAAGAGTTTATATGCTTTAAATGGTTAATTTGTTATTTAGGCCAAAAAATTTTGTTACTTTTGAAATATGGCCTTTTTTTTGTAAATTTGTCTTAAATTTATAATAAAACCTTATTAAATGAAGAGCCGTGAAAATAAATAATAAATGTAACCGACACTAACAATTAGTTGGTTTAGTGGAATGAGACATTAGATTTTTTAAGTAAGATTAAGCGTTTGAACTTTGGTGTTCTGAATAGAATAAATTGAATTAAAAGAGTCATCCTCATAATGATCCAGATTAATTGATATAACAAATGTAGTCCATATTAGATTCGACAGTTTCAAGTATTGATACCTAGAGTATAGTACTGTTATTAAAATCATGTTTGAAATTTGAGAAAACACATTTTTATTCACAAAATATGAATACCCTTACTCGTAGTATCAATATTATGGCTCGAATGTTAATATTTTAGGTAAATATGGATACCTCATGGTTTTATGCCATATGAGATTGCGAAGTGCATGACACTTGAAGTGTATACCAGGGAAACCAAATGAACATATACCCGACAGACTGACGTGCACTTTTACTCGTACAATAAATTGCCACCAAAGTATTCAAAGCCACGAAAAATGAACTTAGAGGACTAAACGAGTTCCCACATTAAATGCAGGGGATATCACCATCTTTTAACTGCAATGCTAAACCATCCAACAAAGTAAATATAAGCTCACCATCAGGTTTACTTCTATCTTCAACGGTAAATCTCTGTGTTTTCCCATTGATTTGGATAAGGCTTTCCCCAGGAGATTTGCTCACTTTCTTCTGTTTCATCAATAACCTTATCATTGCAACTCTATCCCACTTTCCAGTTGATGCATATATGTTTGCCATCTCCACATATGGGGCAGCCTCTTGAGGCTCCATCTCGAACAAACGACTGGCTACGTACTTACCGATCTCAATGTTCTGGTGAACCTTGCAAGCACTAAGCAATGCACTCCATATGGCAGCATCTGGTTCTATCGGCAAATTTAAAACGAACTCCATTGCTTCTATTAGCTTACCTTTACGTCCAAGAAGATCTACCATACAAGAATAATGATCTAATCCCGGATTTATATCATATACCACCGTCATCATATTGAAGAATTCCCACCCTTTATCAAGAAAGCCTGCATGAGTGCAAGCTTGAAGGACAGCAAGAAATGTTATGTGGTTAGGTTTGAAGCCCAAAGCCCTCATCTGATGGAAAAGGTCTAAAGCTTCTTCAAATTTTCCATTCAGAGCACAACCAGAGATCATGGTTGTCCAAGAAACAATAGTTTTCTCAGGCATGGCATGAAAAACCTCCTGAGCCTCGCATATCCTACCACATTTCGAATACATATCTACTAGTGCATTACAAACCATTGAAGCATCTTTAAACCCTTTAGATTTGGCATAATCGTCGATCCATCTCCCGACCTCAAGGGATCCTGTCTGGCCACAACCTGAAAGCAAAGAAAGTACAGTAACCAAATCAGGTGTCTCACCAGCTTTTTCCATTGAAAAAAACAAGGACATTGCCTCATCCATATTCCCTTTCCCAGCATATCCACTAATCATAACCGTCCATGAAACACACGTCCTATAAGACATGCAATCAAACAAGAGTCTTGCAGAATTAACATCTCCACACTTGGAATACATGGATATAAGGGTGTTGGTTACAGATATGTTCAAGTCACAACCCAATTTGATTCCATGAGAATGAATGAGCATTCCTCGAAACAGTGCTTCTGGTTGAACACATGACGAAATCAAACTGACAATAGAGCTAGCATCAGGCCTGATGCCATCCACTAACATCCTTCTATACAAATCAAAGGCATCAAAAAAGTTTTCGAAGTTTGCATATCCAGCAATCATGGAATTCCAAGAGATGACAGTCCTTACACCAATCTCATCAAAAACCTTTCGAGACGATGCCAAGTCGCCACATTTGGCATATACCGAAATCCAAGTGTTAGATACAGTAACATTAGCAGCCACCCCATTTTGAATCCCGAAAGCATGAATTCCCTTGACCAATTCCAAACTCTTGGCACTCAAAACCCCTAGGCTAAGTCCCACAACAGTGACAGAATCAGGGTGAATCCCAGCAAACCTCATCCCATTGAAAAGACTACAAACTTCATCAAGAGAACCCAACTGAGCAAAACCGATAAGCATTGCGTTCCAAGCTGCGACATCTCTGTCGGGCATTCTATCAAACACTTTGTATGCATAATCCACTTGACCACATTTCACGTACATATCGGCCATTGATGTCTGTATAAAAATATCGTTCCCAAATAAGGATTTCAGTATTTGGGTGTGAACAGATTGGGAATAGCTGAGATCAGAAAGGTTGGCACAAGCTTTTGCAATGAATGGAAAGGTCAAGTTGTTCGGCTCTAATCCTTGTTGCTTCATTTGGCGAAAGAGAAGAAGGGCTTTTCTGGCACAGTTTCCATTTACAGCCTCCTTTATTCGCGAGTTCCATAGTTTAACGGTGGTGTACGCTGCCATGTCTCATTGCTTTCCTACAAATGAATGGAACGAAATCGTTCCATTAGCCCTGGATATGAACACAACGGGGAAAGTTGAATAAAGTTTTCCCCGTACTAAACTGCAGCTGCAAAGCAAGAAGGTAACAACTTAGGGTAAATTACATTATTGGTCACCAAACTATTATTGTTTTTCTAAAAAACACATTTTGTCTATTAGTAACAATATGCATGGTGTATGGAATAAATTGATGCCTAAAAATCCACCTCTTTTTTTTTTTCTTTTTCTTTTCTTAATCTTTTACAGTCATGATGAAAGAACGTCCTTCATCAATACTTTGTTTTTTACCTTCTGCAAATTACCTTCCTTTTTCATTTTTGACTTTTGGCATTGCATGTTGGGTGTCCTAAAACACTCATTCAAAAGGGAAATCCAACAAGCTGGTAGTTTTGAAACACCTGTTGGTTTAAAGACAAAATCAAAAGGGAAAAAAATAGCATAAAAATCTACCTGCATTGTATCAATCATTAGAGGAAAGTCAAACTTTTAATTTTAAGTTATTCAAGTAAGTTCTATTTTTTTATTTAGATTTTGAGTTCGAGTTGAATTTTAATTTTTAAAGTTTAAATAATTCAAAATTAGAACGTCATTTTAATCTTTAACTAAGTAATTTGATTGTTTTATAGTTTGATTCTTGTTTCTTCAATACATCCCTCATTTTTAAGTCTATTTTTGACCAAATTTAAACTACATGCTCCTTCACCACTTTAAAATATATGTATAACTCTAATTATTTTTTTACAAAAATTTTCTATTTTATAATTTAATCTTTCAACATAATATTTTATTAAATTTGATCCTCCAACTATATTTTTTTCTTCTAAATTCTTCCTTCATATCAATTTCTTGAATCTTTTATATTCTCATAAGTATTTTATTCTTTAAAAATATGTATGTATGTATGTTGTATATGGTTAGAGATGATTGTTTAAATTGAAACCAATAAATACCATAATATTATAAATAATTACATTTAAATTTAGACAAAAACTTGAACAAATATATTCGACTCGGCTCAATTAATATTTTATAAATTCGACTTAAAAATTTTTCAAATAAAATTTATGATAAAATGATACTCATAAACTCTTCTAACTCAATTTTTTTTACTCATCTATAAAGTACTAACCCCTTATCACCATGAAAGAAGTTCAATTACATGTAAAAGAAGGCATCAAATCATACCTATAAAGACACCCTAAAATCCCTAGATTCCTTTCCCCCCATAGATTTTTTTTATGATTTGCCATTTCTTAGTTTTAAGTAAAATACTGTGCTAAAGCTATAATCACAAGGGAGCTTTATTGGAGGATCTCTAAGGACTAGAAAGTTTATTCTTATGTAGGAATAATAAAAGGTTCAACCATCTCTTTCATTTGATGGGTTAATTTCGCATTTGTTCCCTTAACTTTCACTAAATGTATAATTTGGCCTATCACCTCAAAGGCTTAAGATCATTAAGCAAGCCTGCTTATTTGGAAACAACCAATAAGTGGATGACATGTGTATGATGAAACACTTCTGAGGATTACTTGTTAGAACTTAACAATGGAAGAAGGGAAGAACAAGAATTTGTTCAGTTCAGCTGTCTGAAAAACATGACAAACTGAAAAATTGTTATTAGTCGGTTTCTTCTTCTTCTTTACGTTGCTTTTGAGCAAAAAATTAGTTCAGTCTTTATGTTCCACGTTGCATTAATAGTTTCAAAGAAATGATTGTACGGATTGGTAATAACTTTAGATCCATTTTCCCAAATGATGAGCGCATTGAGGATTCTGTTGAGATTATAGTCTTCATCCGAAATTAGCTTTACCTTACACGTGTTCTGCTTTCCATGGTTTAGTAAGTTCCATCATGAGGTAGGGCCACAATCTACCAGTTGAAAGAGAGTCGAATGATAAGAAAATCGATGTTGTTTAAGAAAAGTTTTGATTTCTGATATTGCAGATGAAAAAAAGAACAGTCTTTTTAGTCAGTATGATCTGATTCGACTCCGAATTTAGTTGATACTACTACTCGATGCCGAAAAAAGTAAACGGGAATTTGCTTGCATCGTACTGCTCTGCAATATTTGATCATTACAAAGACTTTGTTAATCAGAGGCTTTAATCATAGCAAATTATGGATTAAGCCTAAGGGGGTTGAGAAATGATGATTACAAGCAAGTAATTAGTGGTAGGTTGGGGGGGAATTTTGGAGATTCTAATTTGTTTGTTTAATCAGACAATTACAGAGAGGGGTCTGTAATAGGGACAATCATCAAAGGTTGATTGTCTGATTGAAGCTCACAAGAGATAATGAAAAGAGACAGCAAGTGGGCCATGCCGGTAATGGAGTCTCAATGAATAGCTCTACTGATTTGACCATTCAATTCTCTAAATGAATTGATTGTTCTTTGTTGTTGTCGTTACAGATTTGGTTCTCAAACCTGTTGAGAGTTTCGTGACTCAAATTAAGTTTCTTTTACGTAAATATGCGTATTGTTGTTTTGCGATTTTGTTGCCATATGTTAGGTTTAAGGGCTAAGTAATTCGATATCTTTAAGTAAAATCTAAATTTACAATGTCAGAAAAGTGTATTTTCCGATAACGGGTTTGACCCGACTTAACTCTAGACTTATTAGGAGCCAAGGTCTCGAACCAGAAAAGAATAAGGACCCCTGACAGGAAAAATCTGCAGCAAATTAAGCTGATATTGTTTGGTTATGGACTGTCCTTGTCTATGTCTATATGTATATCATACAAAGCTGTGGATTTTCGTTGCAGAGAAATCTATAGTACCATGAGGAGACACTGGTGCCGTCTGGTAAGAATCGAAGAGCTGTCTTTGTGTATGCTGCAACATCTGCAATGCCACGTATGCATGAGTCTGATGTCATTCTCCAATGGGTCCCATTCACTCAAAACCAAAGATCAAAGCAAATCAAATGGCAATACTCAAGTTCATTGATGATAAGGCCTTGTTTGGATTTGAGATCAAAAAACAAAGATTATACATTGAAAAAAGAAACCCTGAAAACTCACAAACAAACAGAAAAGAATGCCTTAATCTATCTCTTTCATCCCCCACAAAGTCTAGGCTTCAACACGATGATAGTGTTGGAGAAGCCTATTGGCTTCCCTTAGACCACTAAAGTAAGCTCCATGGGTTGTGGAATAGTGAGTTCTATGTGTAGCTTCCCCAGCAAACAGGATTTGAAGTGGATGGTGCACACCGGTAGGTGAATTTGGTAACGGCTCGGCCATCGTGTCAAAATCGGCACCGGTTGATCCGACTGCAACATAACTGTATGACCCCAAGAACAGTGGATCACTTCCCCATTTGGTCTTCAAAACCTTAACAAATCTTACTTCACTTCCAGTACCATTGCATGATCCATTGGAGCCATTCTCAGACTTCATTTCCTTGTGGGGTTTTGCTAATAAACTCGAAACCATCGTCGACACAACGTTTATGATCTCTTCGTCGCTAAGTGTTTCGAGCTCAAGAGCTTCTTTCCCTGCAAACCAAGATAGGAGCACACTTGAATTGCTGTAAATAGGGGACAAAGAAGCTGTCCTCCTCATCCACCATGGGATTTTTTCGTGGCGTAACTGGGATTCGGAACGATGGAACACCATTTGCAAGGAAGGGAATTCGGGTTTTTTATTACCATTTCGACTCAATTGGAGAAACAGCTTGTTGACAACACCATATCCAAGTCTTGATATAGCATCTGTCTTGTAAGAAGGCAAGGGAGGACTAAACAACATACCCGAATCTTTGCAAGTTCCAGCTTTTAAGACCCCTAATGAAACTGTGACTATAACATGATCAGCTGACATAAACGATCCGTCAAAGAAATGTATCTTCACCGGCCTCAAGTCATCTACTTGTCGCTGATGACGACGACAATGATGATCCTGTGGTTGCCATTCAATTCGGTCGACTTTACGGTCTAATTGGACTACACCGGGAGGGAGAGCCGATGAGAGGTATTTGATTATGCTCAAGTAACCTTGAGAGATGGTAATTTCTTCACCGGGGAACATCCGGTACTCGCTTTCGGCTTCGAAATCGAGATCGAAAAGATCACCGGTTGAAGTATAAGTCCTTTGAGTGTTCTCAAGCATTGCGAAAACAGATTCTTCAAGCAACTTCCTGCTCCATTCACCATACGATCCAAGCTCTTCAAAGTCCTTTCGAGAATCCCAATACGCATCGAGGCCTCGTCGAAGAAAAGCACCGACGCTTTCGTTGCCGCCATTTCTTGAACACCATGTAGCATCCGCCACTATACTTTCTTCGTTCACATTCCTTTGAGCAAACTCCATCAGGTTCTTGAAAAGAGTCGATATGGGGTCGACGATGGAAGCGTTCAGCTCGAAACCGCCCTCGGCAACGGTCGTAGGCTCATCGCAGAACCCATCCATGCACTCCCATGGCTGGTCAGACTCCAATGCATTGATTTTTTCAGCAATTTGATGAACCGGGCTGCCTCCTATGCCATGGATCCAAGTAGCACCCATCTCAATCCTATCACCACAAAACTCCGAAGTGTTGATTCTTCCACCAATTCTGTCACCACCTTCGACAACAAACAGCTCGAACATGTCTTTTGAACCAGTTGAAGTGTAAAGTTTGTTGGCTGCTGTAAGACCAGCCATGCCTGCTCCGATTACCACAATTCTTGGCTTCTTGGCCATGTTAATAAAAGGAAAATTTGGGAAATTTGTTTTCTTTTTCCAGAGGGAAAGAAGAAACAAGGTTAAGGGAAGAACTGTGAGGTTACATTGAATTACTGACGAGGAATTTATAGGGGGGGGGGAGGGGTTGTTTTCCTGTATTTGTTCTATGGATTTTTCAACATAAAACAAATGGTGAAATTTTCGTTTTGATTCCTGTGTTATAATCTACTTGATATTTGTCCCTATAATTTAGTATAATTTGATCTTCCACTGTTGTTAGTGTTACGCTTTAGTACAAATTTCTCACTCCCTTTAAAAGGCTTGTTTTTTTGGGTATAACTACTAATATTTAATTTACTAGCATATTACTTCGATAAAATATTACATATATCCATTATGGATATATCTTCTCAAATCTCAGTTTAATTTGTTTCATTTATAGCGTTAGAGTTTGACCTCTTAATTTTACTCAAGTGATTTAAACATCGTTTCGTTAGACAATGACATAACCACATATATAAAAGGATGTCAAACTACACCTAAACTATTAACTACTTTTTTTATTTTGATATAATAGATTAATTTAATTTGATGTTTTCGATACCGAAAGAAAACAAGAATGATAATAAATAATGTAGATTCATATATTATAAATATTAGTGTTATTTTATTAATATTTAAATTTATATATTCTATTACTACTTACAATAGGTTTAGAGCATATATAGATATAAATTATCAATATTTGATTAGAAAAAAAGGGACAATAAAGAGGTTGACAATGCCTCTCACCAACCATCACATGTAAATTGGGGTTGAAGGTTGATGACTACCCACCAACTGGAACATGTCATTGATCTTCACAACTATCTGGCCCTATCTTAAATCATTTATCAAAAAAGTTATTAATATGACCTAATTTGATGAGTAATTGATTAATTCAATTAATTCGGATAGAAAATATTAAAAACTAATCTAATTGAATTCATATCTTATTAAATTAAATTTGAGTTAATTGTCTATAAAATTAATTACGAGGAATCGATTTTTATCGATCAATTCGGTTAAAAAAATTGAAATAATTAAATTCTCAAATAAAAATATATATTTTCAAAAAATAATGTATAGAAAAATTACCAAATTATAGTTAATACTAATTATTACATAAACTAAAATAAATAGGGACTCGGTCATTCAATTATATCTTATCTAATAATATGATATTTTAAGAATTTTTATTATTAATTTAATGTCTGAAATTTTTATTTTTTATTTTTGGTAAACAAACGTAAAACTAAACTATCAACTTAATCAACATCCTATTCCTAATCCATCCTCATGGAGGAGTGCCTGAACTACTATTGAGTGATATTAATCGATTGAACAAGAAGTGACTAAAACATTGCTTCTTAATTTATTTTTGAAATCATGCAGCACATGTGGATTATTTATCGATCGATTGGTCTATATCAGTTAATTAGATAATAGATGGTATGTTAGACAATTAATTAAGGTGTCAAACTGATAATAAAAATTCATGAATGATCACATTGTTGAATGATACATAATTGAGTGGTCATATCACTATTTATCACCAAAAAAATGGTACAATACCAAAAATATCCCCTAACTTTTATCATAATGGTCATTTCAATCCTTATTCTTTTTTTGAGCATTTTGACACCCAACGTTTCACTTTAAGACAAAAAGCTCCCTCTATAGATGAAAATCATTAGTTAAGACACGATTAACGCTCTAAAATATTTATAACCTAAAATGAAATGCCAAGGGCTCAAATGCCCAAAAAAAAAATAAGGGACAAAATAATTATTTTGTCAAATGTTAGGGGTATTTTTGCCCTAAAATAAAATATTGTGGGTCAAAATGCCCTAAAAATAAAATAAGAGGTAAAATGACTATTGTGTTAAACGTTAGAGGTTAATTTTGGCATTATGCCGAAAAACATGATAAGGAAAGCATGTCACATTTTGCCTTGTCCTCGCTATATTCGATCAAACATTTAAGGTTTAACCTAACGATTAAATTGACGAAAGATCTCATTGAAATAATAAGAATATCTAGAGAATTTCACTAAAAAAATAAATTTTGGGGACTACTTAGAATCTAATTCATAAATATATGGTGTGATGAGATAAGCATTATCACACAATTTTATTTTCATTAGATTCCATCAAATAGGATAAAGTAGAGTTAATTTCGTTATATGTCCTCAAACGGTAATTCCCTTTTAAAATTGGTCCCTGAAATTTTAAATATTCTAATTTCATTATTAAAATATGACTATCATTCTAAATTAGTTCCCAAAATTTTTAATATTTTATTTTCATCCCCAAATTATATCCTTTGTTCTAAATTGATCCCCAAACTTTTTCAACATTTTAATTTCATCCCAAGCTATATGTATATAGTAATCACATTTCCTGTTAATAAAATCGTTAGGCCAAGTTATACTATTATATGTTTGAAAAAAATAAAATTTAGGTTAAATTATGGTTAAAATTAGTTACATATTTGGAAGAATTTGGGGATGAAATTGTAAGATTTAGAAGTTTTGGGACCAATTTAGAATGAAAGTCATAGTTTATTTAGAATGAAATTAAAATATTCAAAAATTTAGAGATCAACTTAAAATATGGATCATAGTTTGTGGACATAATATATATACAATTAACTCGATAAAGTATACAAGAGATTATTGAACTATATTCAATTTTTTTTATTCAACTTTTAAAATTATAAATTAATTATTAAATTTATTAAATTATTTTAAAATAAATATTAAATTTTATCAAATTATTATAAAATTATCATTAAATTTTATCAAACTTTTACATTTATTATAATGTCACACCGACCTTATCAAATATCAAGTGGCAGCCTTCTTAGAGAAAGTTATTTATTTTTGTTGGATTATTTGTTTAAATCTCATGCTACTGCCCCTTTCATTGTTTAAAAATATTGATAAATTTTTATGTACGAATTTAAAAACTTTATATTAATTTTAGAAAGGGACATTCATCTCAGATTGTATTGATTAAAACAAAATTACTTTTAAAATAATAATTTTTGTGACACGATAATTATTTTATTATTCATTATTAATTTATTTGTTTCGCAGTATTAATTTTTCAACACTTTTATTAATATTAAAAAAAATAAACTCGATCTTTAATTAGATTTGTCAGCATAGTCAAGAGATATTGATTTAAAAAAATGGTGAAATTAATTGGGGTCATGTAAGTGTACAAACCATGCATCGCAATCAAAGCTTATTCAAGGAAAAGTCAAAATTTCGAGAGTTCCCCAATACATATTTATTGAGCACATCGTCTCTCGTGACCAATACCTTATATATATTATTATATTATAAATGATTCTTGAAGCATGGACCCAACATTAAATGGTACCATATCTTCACGTGCACGAGGAGGACAAATGCCCAAATCACACAAAGGTTACAATTTGAAATTAGAAATGGATTGATAATGATATAAAATTTTTGTATAGAGCAAGGATAAATAAAATTTTAGAATGGATAAGATCAACAAAATAAATAATTTTTCAATTTTAAACTTTTATATAAATTATATATATATTTTATACATTTTCCGAAAATCTAATTTTCCAAATTTTAAAATCTTGTAAGTTTATATCTTTAAATCCCTTATATATTTCTTAAATGTATATACACTTAATATAAAAATTTATGTTTGTTTGTACTTAAAACTACAAAGCATTTAAATGATAGTAGAAAAGGTCAATTGCTTGAGTTTTTTGCTCAGATCCTATATATTAGGATTCAATTTTATTGATGGAAAAAAGTTTATTCGAAATTCATTTAGTCCAGTCCAAAAAATTTATAATAGAACTCGTTTAGTGAAGACATAAATTAGAAGAAAAATATAAATAGATATATAAAGAGATAACAATTTTATTCCAGTGAGGTTATTGTAATTTTACAATTATATATATAAATAAGATTTTAAAGTTTGATGCACTCTCGTACAATATTCTTGTAAATTTTTGTCGACTATAATAAAAAATTTCTTCTATATCTGTGATTTTCGATTTGTTTGGGATTTTTTTTGGAATGTTATAGTTTTTCTTTCTTATTGTTTTGTATTATTTACTCGTCCTTATTTATAATAAATTCGATATAAAAAAAATAAGACAAATTTTCTATATCAAACACAAATTCAACTCGAGTTTGAATATATAAATTATATGAACAAATTTAGTTTGTTAAAGTAGTCCAAGGTTTCCAACTTTAAAAACAACAAAATGGTCATCAATAAACATTTTCGATTTCGACCAAAATGCTAATCCTGGTTTAACTTTAATAAATTTTTAGTTTTGGTGGTTAAGTACCAAACCCTTTTGTAAGGGATACAGGTTCGACACTTTTCTCTAATGCGACAATAATATTGTTTATTTTATTTTATTTCTTCAATGAAACATAAATATTGATAAAAAGTAAATTTTTTTTTTTGGATAATCAATCAATTGTATTCATCCAAAGAAAGTAGCAAGCTGCTACAAGTAACAAGTAAACATCTAAATCAGCCCCCAATCATTACAAAGTTAACTATTTACAGTATTCGACCTATTAATATTATATCTATACAATTTAATTTTAATTGCCTCTTTGATTGTATTTATAATGACATCAACCAGACGCGACAATCCTCTAAAAATTCTATGATTGCGCTCTTCCCAAATGAAGTAAACATACCCTGTCCATGCTAATTTCAGAATATGAACTAACAGAGACTTGCCTTTTAAGTTCCTATTCAACCAACACAGTCAGTCGATCCAGCTCATATACTGCTGGTGCAATCCACATGATTGCAGGATGGAAGCCTAGACCTCCCTCGAGTAAGCACAATCCGAGAAGAGATGGCTTCTTGATTCCAGATCATCATCACATAAACCACAACGAGCATCAGACACCATAGCAAACCGAGCTAATCTATCCTTAGTTGGCAACCTGTCAAGAATGGTCATCCATGAAATCAGAGAAAACTTTGGGATGTGTGAAGGGAACCAGATGAGTCGATGCCACTCAACTTTGTCATTCCTTTCTCTAATTTTATCCCATATCCATCCTCCCCTAGCTTGTGACCAATTAACAGAAGCAATAAA